GTCCCGTGGAACGGGGCTCCGTGCGGACACTTGAAGGATCTTCGTGATGAAGTGTGCGCCTCAAAACCCACGGTCTCCGGACAGAATGGACTTGGGCGCTTTTGCTGCAGAGCGTGTGGGTCCCAGGGCTGCTGACTGTCCCCGGGGCCGCAGGGCGGGCTGAGCCGGGACACTGACTACCGGGCAGAGAATGAGGAGCTGCCTCCTGTACTCCCCTCAGATGGAATAAAGTCATTTCTTCTGTGAAGGAAATTGGTTCCTTTTTTTGTTTTTAACTTGGGGGTTGGTCATTCAGAACTAAGAGGTGAGGAACAACATTGGACAAGATGGAGGTGGCCTGTGCAGGGGCTGGGCCCAAGGTCACCCGGCAGGCGAAGGTCACCCACAGCCTCGCTGATGGTCTGCATAATGTGCGATAGCGGGGTTTTATTAGGCGGACGTCCGAGAACCACAGAGCTCCTTTGCTAGTGTTTTACCACGTGTTTGTGTCTGGCGGGGGGGGGTTCCTGTTGTAAGGAAGTGAGCGCTCTGGAGATTTACTCCTCAGTTTCACACGCGTGCTCTCCGCAGTCATGTCCCTCAGCACAGCCGGGAGCTGTGCCTTTAGCCGCCTTCGTCCAGCCCCCGCCTCCCTCCTCCCGCCTCTGGGAGCACAGGTCTGATCTTTCTCTGTGCGTTTGGGTTTTTTCCTTTGTTTAAGCCCGCACATAGACATGGAAGGATCTGGTATGTATCTTTCTCTGACTGACAGACTTCGCTTAATGTCCTCAAGGTCCGTCAGCCTCAAGGGTCGGGTTTCTTTTTCTATGGCACCGTAATATTCCAGAGCGTGTGTGTGTGTGTGTGTGTAACTTTATCCATCCATTCATTCATGGCCACTTGAGTTTTCTCCATGTCTTTGCTGTTGTAAAGCTGCTATTGGCAGGGCAGGGTTCAGGGGTGGGAATTGATCAGCCTAAGAACTGACATGACCGACCGTGGACACAGACGATAAGGTGCTGAAGGCCTGGGGCGGGGGGTTGGGGAGCTAGAAGGGGCCAATGGGGGGGAGGGGGGGCAATTGTAATATTTCCAACAATAAAGATTTACAAATAAAGCTGCTATGAACATGGGGTGCAGAGAGCTCTTCGACATCCTGTCTTCATGTCCTTCGGATACACTCCCAGATGTGGACTCGCTGGATCAGTCGGTAGTTCTATTTCTATTTCTAATCTTTTATTTTTGTGAGGAGCCTCCATACTGTTTCCCGTGGTAGGTGCACCGCCTCACAGTCGCTTTCCCCACCCCCTGGCCAGCTCTGGTGATCTCTGTCGCTTTGGGGGCAGCCATTCCGACCCGCCCGCGGGACGTCGAGTTGCGGTCGGCGCTGCGGGACGAGGGATGGGAGGCGCCTTCTCATGTGTTTGCTGGGCGTCCGGTCCTTTGCCTATTTTTAAACTGGATTGTTTTGTTTCTTTTGTCTGTTGAGTTGTGAGAGTTTTTTATACATTTTGCATGTTAAACCCTTATTAGATATGAGGCTGGCACACGCTTTCCCGTCCCTTGGGTTGTCTTCATTTTCTTGGTTGTTTCCTTGACCGTGTAGGGCAGTGGCTCTCAACCTTCTGGCCCTTTAAATACAGTTCCTCATGTTGTGCCCCAACCATAAAATTATTTTCGTGGCTACTTCATCACTGTCATGTTGCTACTGTGATGAATCGTCATGTAAATATCTGATATGCAGGATGGTCTTAGGCGACCCCTGTGACAGGGTCGTTCGACCGCCAAAGGGTCGCGACCCACAGGTTGAGAACCGCTGCGGTAGAGCTTTTGGTTTGATGTCCCACGTCGTGGTGACGTGTGTTGCGCTGGCTTGTCCTTAGATCCAAAAATCATTGTGGACCCCGATGTCGGGAAGCCGGCTTCCTGCTTTCTTCCATGAGTTGCGTGGTTTTCAGTCTCACATTCAAGGCTTCCATCCGTTCCGAGTTAATATTTGTGAGTAGTGGAAGATGGAGATCTACTTTTATTTATGTATTTGCTACTGATAAGAGTCATTTTAATATAAACATTGGCCGTAAAAATAATCAGTATAATATGACATTCCCGTCCTTTGCATAAAAGAGAAACAGTAAATAATGTTGAATGAATGAGTGAATGAATGAATGAAGTAGCTAAATTGCTCCTCACTGGCTTTGAAGTTACAGAAATGGTGCGTTGCCCCTTCCCCTTTCCCCGCATCTTCTTATGGGTCCCTTGCCGCTCACTGAACAACGTCACCGGATTGGATTGTCAGGATGCATTAGAACAGCGGTTCTCAACCTGTGGGTCGCGACCCTTTGGCGGTCGAACGACCCTTTCACAGGGGTCGCCTAAGCCCATCCTGCATATCAGATATTTACATGACGATTCACAACAGTAGCAACATGACAGTAATGAAGTAGCCACGAAAATAATTTTATGGTTGGGTCACAACATGAGGAACTGTATCTAAAGGGCCGGAAGGTTGAGAACCGCTGCCTTAGAGCTTACTTGAGCACAGAGGACAGGCCTGGAAGCAGGACCTCCACCGGCTGCCAGGACGCCCCCACTTTGACTTTTCCCCTGTGACTCTCCAGTTATGCCGAGGCCGCCTTTCCTCCATGGAGCGCGCGTGGCTCCCCGTCAGATCTGACTGGACTCCATATGCCTGCGTCATGTCTGGGCTCTGGGTTCTGTTCCGGCGGCTTGTGTCTGTCTACGCCAGTGATGGCGAACCTATGACACGCGTGTCAGAGGTGACACGCGAACTCATTTTTTTGGTTGATTTTTCTTTGTTAAGTGGCATTTAAATATCTAAAATAAATATCAAAAATATAAGTCTTTGTTTTACTATGGTTGCAAATATCAAAAAATTTCTATAGGTGACACGGCACCAGAGTTAAGGTAGGGTTTTTCAAAATGCTGACACGCCGAGCTCAAAAGGTTCGCCATCACTGGTCCACGCCATCACCATGCTGTTCTGATCACTGTAGCTTCGTGACACACCTCAGACCAGGGAGTGTGAGGGCTCCTGCCTTGTCCTGGTTTGTGAGGATCGCCTTGGCCATTCAGAGTCTTCTGTGCTTCCATATGAATTAGGATTGTTTTTCCTTTTTTAATATATTTTTATCAGAGAGGAAGGGAGAGGGAGAGACAGAAACATCAATGATGAGAGAGTATCATTGAGCGGCTGCCTCCTGCACACCTCCTACTAGGGATGGAGCCCGCAACCTGGGCATGTGCCCTTGACCGGAATCGAACCCGGGACCCTTCAGTCCGTAGGCCGACACTCTATCCACTGAGCCACACCGGCCAGTGCAGGGTTGTTTTTTTACTTCTGGATACAAACAGAAAATGCCATTGGAATCTCAGTAGGACTAGCATGAGTCTGTAGATGACTTCGAGTAATAGGGGAATTTTAACCGTATTAACCCTCCCGGTCCGTGAACACAGGAATAGCTTTCCATGTATTTGTATCTCCGCTTCTGTCGCCAGGATCAGGTCATTTCAGCATGAAGATTTTCACCGGTCCCTGGTGAAGTGTATCCCTCAGTATTTTATCGTTTTCGATGCTATTTTAAAATGGGATTATTTTCTTTCTTTAGATAACTCATACTGTATGCACACTGATGATTTTTGCATGTTAATTTTGTACCTTGATTTTATTGATTAGATCTAACAGTTTTTGGGGGGAGTCTTTAGGAATATGTATACATACACATATACGTAAGATTTGTTTTCTGGCCCTGTCCCATGTGGCTCAATGGTTAGAGCGTTGGCCCTCGCACTGGAAGGTCACGGGTTTGATTCCTGGTCAAGGTCACCTACCCAGGTTGTGGATTCGCTCGGTTTGCAGGAGGCAACCACTCGATGTGTCTCTCTCACATTGACATTTCTCTCTCCATCTCTCCCCTCTGCTCTCCCCCCACCCCCTACCCCCCACTCGCTCTGAAAAGCAATGGAAAAAATACCCTCAGGTGCGGATTAACAATTGCCATCTTCAATAGAGACCATTTTGCTGCTGCTTTTCCAATTCTGATGCCGCTTATTTCTCTCTCTGGCTGCGCCCTTGGCCGGGCGGCCGCACTGTGAGCGTGGCCCCTCCGCGGGCACCGGCCCCCGAGGAAGTTTCCAGCCTCCGCCGTGAAGCACGACGCTCGCGGGGGCTTGTGGGCGGCCTTCGCTGTGGGAGGCACAGTCCTCTCCCTGATGCCGAGGCGCTGGTATCAGGGGCGGATGCGAACGTTGTCAAATGCTTTTCCTGCTCCTGTGGGGACGATCTAGGGTTTCGTTAAGGAGGCGCATGTATCCCAGGGACCGATGGGGCTGTTGGGGGAACGGTCCTGCATCCCTGGAACCGATCCATGTGTTGGTGGTGAGTGGCCCGCTCTGAGCTGCTGAGCGCGGTTTGCTATTTCGTGGAGAATTTCTGCATCTCTGTTCGTCGGGGACGCTGGTCTGTGCTGAGCGTATATCGTCCTTTTCGGGCTCCGGGTCAGGAGCTGCCGGCCTTGTGTGGTGAGTCCGGGCGTGTCTGCTCTTCCGTTCCCGCTTCTGAGCATCTGATACCAGTCGCCTGGGGAACGCCCTGGCCCAGGAGGGCCTGGTGGGCGGGTCCAGCTCCTGACGCGGCACTGGGTCTGCTCAGGGTTCCCGAGTCCCGGGACTGACCCATCTGGCCTGGGTTGTCCACTGTGGGTGTTAATCCACAGCAGTGCCTTAGAGCTACGCACGTCCGGGCATCAGTTCTGATATTTTCAGTTTAAGATTTATCGATCTCGGTCATCTTTTTGGTAAAAAACCAGCTTAGCCCTGGCTGGTTTGGCTCAGTGGGTAGAGCGGCGGCCTGTGGACTGAAGGGTCCCGAGTTCGGTTCTGATCAAGGGCACATCCCTGGGTTGCGGGCTCGATCCCCAATGGGGGGCGTGCAGGAGGCAGCCAGTCAATGACTCTCTCTCATCATTGATGTTTCTCTCTCCCTCTCCCTTCCTCTCTGAAATCAATAAAAATATTTAAAAAATAAAAATAAAAACCCAGCTTAGTGTCATTGGTCTTCCCTGTTTCTCCCCCTCAGTGTGTGCTGTCACTTCCTTCTGCTGAGCGTGGCTTATTTCCGTTTTAGTTCCTTGAGGTGTAGGTTCCGGTTGTTTGAGCTCTTTGCTGCTTTCCTCCATGTGCGTTTATCACTGCACCTTCCCCTGTAAGAACTGCTTTTGCAGCATCCATAGGATTTGTACCCGTTTCCATGGTCACTTGTTTCAAGCTGGTTCTTGACTCCCCTTTGATCTCCTCTTTGGAGAAGCTGTTGATCCGCAGGAGGCAGGGCCACGGGAGTGGGCGCTGCTGGCAGAGGGAGGAGATGCCCGGAGCCTGGGGGTCCCGCGGGAGGCGCTCTCGGCGGCCACAGCGGGGACGGTGTGAGGAACAGCCATGATGGTGCCGTTATAACCCAGAGAATAAGATGGGTTCCCTGCGCCCATAATAACAGCAATTAGACAAGTGGGGAGTGGGGAGTGGAGGGGGGTGTGGACGGTTCAATGAATGAATGTCGGGAAGTGCAGGGAAATGGCACCGTCATCATTGCGAACAAGACGCCATACTGCGCGGCGGAGTGTGAGGGGACCTGTCTCAGTGTGTCCCCAAGATACTCGTCAGCACCGGGAGGGCAGGGACTTGGGGGAGAAGCCCAGTGGAGCGGGTAGCCTGGTGGTCAAGGCCAGCGCCACGCGGCCTGAGGCATCGACACCATGGCCCCAGGGTGCACGCGGGACCCAGCAGACCCGTCCGGTCCAGGGAGCACCCTGGGCACAGCCACAGCCACAGCCACAGCCACACGTAGGGACCCTGTTCACAGTGACGGCCCGTCTGCCCAGGCGGAGGGGCCCCGGGGTGGGCAGGGCCCGGGCGGTTGGGAGGCTCAGTCGGGTGTTGTTGATGGTGCTGGGCACTCGATGCGCTCGGTGCTGATGGTGCTGCTATGGTGACGTGAATGTGAGCGGCAGGGAAGTTAGGTGACACGGGTGTTAGTGCTACAGCTGAGCGGTTCCTTCCCCAGCCGCCCCGCGAGGCAGAGGCTGAGCGGCAGGCGCTGTGAGGAGGTGACTGAGGCCAGGCCTGAGGGTGGGCAGGGCCTGGGGGGCTGCCTGTGCCCAGCTCCTCACCCGGTGCTCATCCGCACTGCCTGGTGGCCCGGCCCCCCCCTCCCGCCCCTGGCACCCCTGCCCTGTGCCCCCGCACCCAAGGCGGGCGCCCCTACCCATAGGAGGCGGGGAACACTGCTTCCCTCTTTGTCCACACGGAGTGGCACTCTGACCCGGGAGCCCCTGGACAGGCGGCCGGAGCCCCCAGTGGGCAGAGGGCGCCCACGGAAGTCATTCCCCTGGCTGCTGCCAGGCAGGCGGGATCGGCTTAGAAACGGGGGGTGGGGGGGGGCACCGAGTAGCTGCAGGTGGGGTTCGAGTACTTCTAGCCACAGGACTCAGCCAGCTTCCAAACCCACTCGCCGCAGGCAGCCGGCAGGGAGAAGCAGCAGGAAGGTGGAGCCCTCGATTAACGGACGGCAGACATCTGCGCAGCCAGGCTCGGGGGTGAATGGAGGAAGAGGGCGCTGTCTCCCAGCGACAGCCTTGGAAACAAGCTGTTTATTTAGTAGATCTTCTGCCTCTGGCTCAGTGTTGTGTGCATTTGGGGTAAAACAACTATGATAAGTGGGATCTGCTGTCAGCCCCCCCTTCCTCACCGCACCCCCCCCCGTGACCCCGCAGGACCCGCCGCAGGGGGAGGCCCGGGGCTCGGGGACCACAGGGCAGGGTCCGGAGGCCACAGGAGAGGCCAGGCGCCTGGACGGCAGTGAGAGCAGGACACAGTTACCACAGCCTCCGCAGCTCGACCATTTGATAAAAAGGTCACTATGTTTATTGAATAAGGAGGAAAAACACGTCAGGGAAAACAGGGTAACTTATTTTCATCGCAAGGATGGCAACAAAGTCCAGCTTGTGCCGCCAAACGGTTCACATGATCAAACCGCGTACAGCTTCGTGTGACCTGGTGACTACAAACATTTACCAAAGACATAAATCTCTTGTAAAAAAGCCGTTTTAAATATAGCAAAGCAGTGTCTTCTCGCACAGCAAAGTGAAGGGAGTTTCTACAGAGAAAGGAAAGTGTTGCATTTGTAAACCCTTTTCACATTCTCACAGCGCCCGGCTCCCTGGCTCCCACGCCCGGGGCCCCGCTTCCTGCTCACTGTGTCTCTTGTGCGCGGGATGGTTGGTGCGGAAACATGTGGGTGCCTGAGGGGGAGCCCTAGGGAAGGGAAACGGTGAGACGTTCCTTAGAACAAACCCTGATTTAGCCTCTAACGCAGTGGACGTACTTAGGGCTCAGGCGATGGCGTCTGGGGTGGGGCCATGTGACGGTCGATGGGGACCCCGCCCTCCCTGGGGTGAGGGTCCTGAGGGAAGGACAGCGGCTGGAAGCTGTCCCGGCCAGTGCAATTCACGCGAAGCTTTTTTTGTTTTTGTTTTTAGTAATAAAATACTTCCTTGGGATGGGTGCATTTTCTGGTGATGGTGTCATACAAAACCCACGCGTCTGAAAGGGTAAGAAATGGAGGTGCCAAGCGACCCCGCTAGTGTCCTGCCCAGTCGGGGTGGCGCCCACCAGGAGGCGTGTTCGTACGTGGCGTCGTGGTGAGGAGTGTCGTGCTCCCGTCACTGCGTGCGGGACAAGGGGTAACAGTCTGGATTCGGTTCCTGGAAGCACAGCCCCTCGCCCCCTGGTCATGTGATTGTGGTTGTGGTTGTGGTTGCCGTACAGCAGCGGTTCTCAACCTGTGGGTCGCCAACCTGTGGGGGTCGAACAACCCTTTCACAGGGGTCGCCTAAGACCATCGGAAAACACATGTATAATTACATACTGTTTTTGTGATGAATCACTATGCTTTAATTATGTTCAATTTGTAACAATGAAAATGCATCCTGCATATCAGATATTTACATGACGATTCATAACAGCAGCAACATTAGTTATGAAGTAGCAACGAAAATGATTTTATGGTTGGGGGTCCCCACAACATGAGGAACTGTATTAAAGGGTTGCAGCGTTAGGAAGGTTGAGAACCACTGCCGTACAGACTCCGAGCCTGGCGGGGCCGTGTTCTAGGGGAGCGGGCGTGCGGATCAGAAACCTGCATAGGAAGAGAGACTGGACTGTCGGGAGCCGTCTCGTAAGGCACACAAGAAAGACAGTCAATGTGCGGGGCTCCCGCCCCGTGTGCGGCCGGCGGCCATGGACACGCAGAGCGGGCGGTCGCCTCCCACGGCCCCGCTCGGTGGGTGACAGTGGGAGGCTCATCGCGAGCCTCGTGGGGGGCTGTCTTGTCTGTTAGGGGTGGTTATGGATGTGCCTGTGAGTGAGTCGGTCAGGAAGATGAGGATGTTTTCAAGAAAAGCGAGTGCTTCCCGAATGAGCCCTGTGTGTAGACGGAGGAGGGCACCTCCCTCCCTTTTTGGCCTGGGTGCACTTTAGGGGGATAGACATGCAGGTACATAGGCAGCTGCTCCCAGTAAGTGTCAAATAGAAAATAGCAGCGTTTTTGAACCCTATTTGAGTTTCTTGGGAAAAGTCATATTAAAACCGTTGGTAGGTGGACATACATTACAGGACTTGGAATTTCGTTCATGGCACCAGCCGGGACCTGGGACCCCCACTCCTGGGAGAGGAAGGCTCTGGTCAACCCCCAGCTGAGGGTGCACTGACCTCGGGGTGGCGGGCCGAGCCCCGATCTGCACCCGAATCCCCCCAGAAGGGGCATTTCCGGGTGGAGCTGGGACGGAGTCTCCGTAACCAGCCACGTCGGGCCACTGGGGGGGTCCGGAGAGAAGACCTGCCCCCACGGCGCCGCCCTCACCGTTTCCACGTGGGAAACCTTTGTGCACCTCGATTTGGCCATTTTCTCTGTCAATCAGGTCAGCATTTTCTATATTTTTAAAGAATGCCTTGTAAAATCCGTTACAAATTTTCCATTTATGCAGGATGAACTTAACACCACTTTTGCCACTTTGCTATTTATGTACACACATAAAATATAGAATGCTGCTCAACCCATACAGCACACGGATTACAATGCAACAGCACACACTCACCACCCGGAGGACCGCGCACAGTCCTCGCAGAGACTGGGCCAATAATTAAAACCCAAGTACAGTATATTTAACAAAATAGGGAATACTCAACAGTGAGTACTCTACTTAAGGATCTCGCCTTGTCCCCCAAATTGGCGGCAAATCCACAAAAATATACTTTTTAATCTGGTGACCATACAATACATAGGTACTTACATCGAAGGTGATAATATATTTAAGATGCTATGTACAGAAAGAGTTTGGCTCAACTTTTAATTTATATATAGAATAATAAGTGTTCATGGCTTTTTTTCCCCCAAGGTTCTGCTTGCAAGGTATTTTCCCCCTCTTAGAATAAAACTAAAAAGTTAAAACAAGATAAAGCTATTCTCAAAAAAAAAAAAATTAAAACATACAGCTTTGGCTTATATAAATAATTCATAGCAGAATGTTTTCAAAAGTAGTGAATATAATTTTATATATAGTCATCAATTCATAAGGGTGTTTTCTTTCATATAAAATATACATGAGCTAAAATCCGTTTCTTTAATTTTTAAGATTCTACTGTAAAGAAACTTCTGACATAGTCCAATCATAACTTAATATATTACTTTACCTCGTTAATGCTCTATCTCTCTAGGCTAGGGTTCGGCAGGTCTCATGCGTTTCTAGTCTCTCTTATTGGCTAAGATCACTTCTCTGACCCGATACACTTGCGCGTGCAACACGGTTAGGCGTGGGGTTTCGTGTGACCGGACAGCCCCCCATGCACCCCTCGCAGAGCCCATGCGGGGAGGAGGGGACACTATGTACAGTATTGCTTTCTGGTGCCTGCGCTGCTCTGTCTACGAAGCGTTTCTCGGGCCCCGGAGGAGGGCTGCCTGCGGGCGCGCGTTTCTCTGCGAAACTGTCTGTTAGGAAACACGGAGCCCGCGGCGCACGGACCACGTCTGCAGGCGGAGGCGTCGCAGGGAGGGGCCGGGTTCTGTCAGCAACGCACACGCACACGCACACTCACACACACACACACAGGCGGCGGACGGACCTGTCTGTACATATAAATAGCGTTACCTCCGGTCCCGACCCCCGGCGCGGGCGGTGCACTGCGGTCACACTCGCCGCCGCGGGCCTAGGTCACCCACGTGTCCATCCGCATGCGCTTCACCGACGGGCTTTCCCGGTCCTCGGCGTTGGGGGGCCGGCCCAGCACCCCCGGGGAGTGGAAGTCCCCCCGCGGGTCCTCCCGGTCGCTGCCGTCGTAGGAGCTGCTGGAGCTGCTCAGGCTGTCCACGGGGGAGCGCCCCACTTCCTGCCGGGGCTGCGGGGGCTGGGGGGGCTGGGCGGGCGGCGGCGGCTGCTGCTGCTGGAAGCCCGACGGGGTCACGCGGTCCCGAGGAGGCGAGACGGGCTCCGACTTGATGCTGACGTTCTGGTTGGTGATGGAGAGGCTGGAACCCTGAGATAGCTGCGCGCCGGACCTGCGGGGAGAGGGGGGTCCGCCCAGCGTGAAGCGCCGTCACCGCCCCGAGAAGCCCGCCCCCCGCGGGAAGGAGCCCAACAGGCCCCGGCGACACAGGGGCTAGTTCTGCCCGGGCAGCGCCTCGCGGCCGGAGCGCCCAGCGGTCAGTGTGCAGGCCGCGCAGGCCCCGACGGCTGGAGGGCAGCCCGGACCGCATGGGCTCCCCTCCCTCCGGCCCTGCTCGGGGACAGGCCCGCTGTGCTCACAGCGGCTCAAGGCAGCCCGCGCCCCTGCCCGTGAGCAGCAGCCTCAGGAAGGTAGGCCCGCCCCCCTCCACAGGGCGATTCTTAGGGTGTCCCTCCGGGAGGCAGACACAGGCCGAGGGGCCTGTCCAAGACCCACTTCCCACAGGGTCACCGAGGGCCGCTGCAGGAGGGCCGCAGGGAGGTGGGGGGTCTGCTACGCTGTCCCAGCTGCTCCCCGGCCTCCTGCTTCTGTTCCTGCTGTGCTGGCGTCTGGTCCCACTGTCCCCTTCACTCGCAGGCGGGCGAGAGTGGGTGAGGAGTAGCTTGCGTGGGAATCACGGGGTAACCATGTCTATCCTCACAGCTGGAAGCTCCCGCCGCCCACACCTGCCCGTGAGCAGGTTCTCTTGGGGAGCACTTCCTGGGGGGCAGGCGGGCAGCGGGCTGGGTCTGCCCGACACCCACCCTCTCGCCCTCCCCTGGGAGCCGAACGAGCCCAGGGCACGGCTCCTTTTCCAGGCGTCTGTGGTGGAGGGAGGCTGTGGCCAGGGGGCCTCAAGATGGTCAGGCTGCCTCTCTTCGAACAGGAGCGTCAGACACGGGAAGTGGGGGTGCGTGTGGTGCCATCGGCACCCCGTCCCCCTAGATCCTGAGCGTGTGCCTCTGTGCGTCCATCGCAGCCTGGCTGCCTGAACCTCAAGGAACCCCTCGTGCGCTCAACCTCCAAGCTCATGTAGAGCCTGCAAACGGTTTCCTCCACACGCTTGGCCACCTGGACACTGTAGGGGCAGGAGGACGAAGGCCGGGGAGCAGGGGGACAGCACCCCTGCCCAGGACACGAGGGCCGGTCCTCGGCGCGGTGGGAGTCGGTGGACGCCCGCAGAGCCAGACCTGAGAGAAGGGAGCCGAGCCCGGGGCGGGCGGTACTCACACCAGGGAGCTGAGGGCGGCCTGGCCCAGGTGGTGCTGCTGCCAGGCGGACACCGGGCCCAGCGACAGCATGCCCGGCGAGTTGAAGCCCTGCAGGGCCGACAGGTCCGCGCTGGTCAGCGAGTAATCTGCAAGAGAGGGCGGCCCAGGCAGGTCCCAGCGTGAGTGACATTGGGGGCGCTCACAGACCTCGCTCTCTCCCATGGTCCGGGGTCAGGTCAGTAAACTCAGTTTCAATGTTGTGCCAAATGTTCAGTTTACAAGTATCTCAACTTTTTGTGAAATTATAAATAATACAAAGGCCATCGCCCAAGGCTGTTGCTAGGCAACTTATTTTAAATACTATCTCCCCCGCCACACACACTAGCATCCTAAACACACACACTCCCTCCAGCTCCTGCAGACTCGGTCCCTGTCAGCACGTCCCAGGGACGACAGCGCCTTCTCCGGTGCCAAGCTCCGTGCCCTGGACAGTCCACGCGTCACTGCACAACTCACTCCCTTTGCTACAGGACGGCCGTCCCCCTCGATGGCAGGCCACCTGTGTCCAAGTTCAAGAGGAAACGGCCCCGACGCCTGCGTCAGTCACCACCACTGCGGCCAAGGCCCAGACACGCGCTCACTCAGTGATTCGTTCCTCATTAGCACTCGGCTTCCCATCTAGTTCTAAACGAGAGGTGCCGAAAGCTCTTCTACTTTTAACTTTCTCACGTCTCCAGGGGCGTTGAAAGAAGTTGGTCTTCCCACCAAGTTACCATTTTTTAAAAAAGCAGCTGAAGGTGTTTTCACAGAACGAGACCAAAGAATCCAGAAATGTGTGTGGAACCTCGGAGGCCCTGAGTGACCCAGGGATCGTGGGAAAGAAGAACGAAGTGGGAGGTGTGGCCTGGCATCAACCTCCCGCGGGCTGACGTACAGACGCCCACCAGGGGGACGGCAGAGCGCCCAGGAGGCAGCCACGCTGTACGCCAGCGACACTGGACAGGAGGCAGGAGCTGACGCTGGGGAAGACGGGCACAGCAAGGCCCCCCGCTACCCAGCAGAGTGAATAAACTGAAATGGACGAAGACTGAAATGTCAGGCTCGGAACGTAAGACTCCAGAAGAGAACGGGGTAGAACCTGACGATTCTCTCAGCGATGTTTTCCTGACAGATCCCCTCAGGCGGGAAGCAGACGTTCCGACTGAAAATGGGCCGAGGACCTAAAGGAGCCTCTTCTCCAAAGAGGACATGCAGCTGCCAACAGGCATCACTGACCACCCGAGAGGCAGATCAGAACCACACCAGGTGCCGCCTCACCCGTCAGAACGGCTGCCATCGCTCCGTCCACCAACAAGCGCCGGAGGGTGCGGAGAAGGGAGCCCCTGTGACTGCCGGCGGGAAGGCAGACGGCAGCCGCTGTGGGAAACTGTGGACTTTCCTCAAAAATTAACAGTGACCCCGCCTATGACCCAGCAAGTCCACACCCAGGCTCATATCTGAACAAATAACACACATGCAAGAGAAAAACACGCCTGTTCCCTGCAGCACGTGCAGCAGCCCAGGTGCCAGCGGTGGGGAGTGGATGGACGGGCTGGGGCACATCCACAGTGAGCGCCCCTCGCCCTGCAGGAGGCACCTACCGCAGTGACGGCCTGGGGGCCGGGAGGGGACTGTGCTAAGTGAAATCAGACAGAGAAATGACATGTGAGGTCACTTGTATGTGGAATCTAAGGAGCAAAATAAATAACAGATTCACAGATGCGGAGACAGGGGAGGTGTGGGGACTGGGTGGGAGGGTGAGGGGTGGAGCAGAGGAAAGGGGCAGTCACAGAGCAGCCATGGGAACGTGCAGCCAGCACAGGGAATGGGGTCTGTAATGTAATCATGACGCTCAGGGAGGGGATGGGAAATATCAGGGGATCAGTTTGTAAAGTGTCTGTGTCACCACAATGCTGTCCGCCTGAGCCCAATACAAAACAATGTTGAATGTCAACTGTAACTGAAAAATAAAATTAAGCCAAAAGCAGCCGAGTCGAAACAGGATTCTCTCTTGTACTGTCCTGTGTCCCTCAGAGCGCCTCACCCGGCCCCACAGAAGTGGGGGTGGGGGCCCATCGCACTGATGCCTTCCACAGTGACCCTCAAAGCCCACAACCATCTCTTCACCTCTGACTGCCAAGCCTTCCAACCACCTCCTGGCTTGTGCGCTGGGATGTCTCCACGCGCCTCCTCGCCTCCTCACCTGCTCCTCTGCTCACCGTAGCAGCCTTCGCCTCGCCGCTCGGCCCACAACCTGGGGTGTCACCCTGACGCCTCTCCCCCACGTCCGCTCGGTTCTAGCTGTGTCCCCGCCACTGCCCCGGCCCACGGGGCCTTGCTCCCCCTGCCCCTACGCAACTGCAGCCACAACTAGGACCCCTCCCTGCTGAAAGCCCACGGCTCCCAGTGCGCTCCAGGCAACGCCCGCATCTCCGATGGGGCCTGTCCAGCCCTGACCCGCAGTCTCGCCTCGAACGCCCAGCGCCCTCCCGGCCCGGGTCACACACTCTCAGGCCAGAGCCGAGATGGAGCCTGAACACGCCCGTCAGGGGTCATTCCAGTGTCGTTCTCTCTCTCTCCCCCTGGACCCCACCTTCCCGCTAACCACGCCCTCTTCCCTGACAAACCCGCAGGACACGCTCAGTAACTGGTCACCGCTGACCGCTCAGTGTGAGGATGTGCCGCTCACCCCCGAGGGGCCCTGGGAGACAAGGCCTAACGCCTGAGGGGAGGGAAGGAAGGAGGAAAGCTGCCAGCGGAGGCCTGGCTGGCTCTGCCCTCAGCCGCACACAGAGCCCGCGGCGGGTCCTGGAGGCACGAGGGAGCGCGTGCCGCCTCCTGACTCCCATTCCGCAGGGACAGGCCTCCCCCAAAGGAGGTTAACGGGGAGCGAGGGGAAACGGCTCATTCAGGGCCGGGACGGGACGCTGTGCTGGTCACCAGCAGGAAAGGCTGCGGGACGCGCCCTCCTCCGACAGCTGCTGTGCCTGTGGGTCAAGGTCACCTGGGAGCCACTCGCTGGCCTCTCTTGTCTGTAACGTCCTAGAGGGCGGCGAGTTCCGATGCAAATGGGAGTCTCAAACGCTGGCAGTCATGTGTCCGTGAATGTGTGTGAAGTCACAGGACAAAGGCGTGAGCCGCTTACCCGTGTTGTAGGCGGTGGGCATGGCCGAGTACACGAGCCCCTGCGGGGGCAGGCTGGGCGTCGTCACGGACACCACGGGGGTGGCGAGGGGCTGCGAGGCCTGCGAGCTGCTGATCCGCTGGGCGCTCTGGGGAGAGAGGGAGGTGTCGTTACGAGGAACCTGCACAGGCTGAGCCTTTACAAAGCACATTCCCTGAGAAGTGCCAGGTCTCAGTTGTAGGATGTGCCATTTCCTGCAGCAGTGACGATGTGAAAGCCTTACAGGTGAATGCTAATGGGCAGATCTCAACGTTTCTGCTAAGGGGCATATTTTTGCAGCAATGATTCACTCCCTCGCCTTCCTCATACAGAGCCGACCGCTGTCAGCCACGCCCTGAGCGACGGCCCCTGTGTGAGCATCAATGATGCTGCCAGGCCGCCCAAACCAACGCCTGTGGGTTTAAAGGCCACGGCCAGCCAGGCACTCGTGTCCAGGGAACAAGTCCAGGGCACAGGACCAACTACTTCCCAGCCGGGCTCCTCCCTGGGGTCCTGCAGCTGGAGGGCGTGTATGTATTTTTTACATTAAGACTGTGTTTTAGGGAATGGGGGGGGACAGATTTCCCATGTGCCCCTGCCCTCCTACACGCGTGCCCTCCCTCGTTACCCCCATCGCCCACCCGTGGGCCCCCGTTTAACAGCAGATGCACACGCATCGCTCCAGTGTCCCCCGCCTGCGGGGCCGGCAGAGGGCGTGGAGAAGGGGCCCGGACAGGGCTGTGAAGGCGCAGGGCAGCTGCCTGCTGGCGCCCCATCCCCAGGCGCCCTGCCCGCACGGAGTGGATCAACAGGACCAGCCGTGCAGTCGGCAGGGCGAGGCGGTCCCTGTCCCGTGTGTAGGAGCGGCAGCCGCTTCTCGCCACCGTGGCTACAGGGACCCTTTCCAAAAGCCAGGGGCAGAGGGACCGAGCAGCCCACGCTGCGTGTGGCGGGGACAGAGAAAGCACGCAGCTCGGTGGCCTCCGGGGGAGCAGTGCCGGCCTGTCCCTGACAAGCCATGAGGCACAGTCAGTGCCCGAGAGGACGAGGGACCGACTGACTGGGCTCCTCTTGCCACTTTCCAAGTGTCGTCTGCGCGCAGGTGAGGCTGGGGGAAGGGACCCCTGGCTCCGGAGCCACATCTCAGCCCTTTCTCGTTTGTGTTTCCTGTGCCATCTTAGGGCAGAGAATGTGGGAAACACATTCAGGATGTGGGTACGCTGCCCGGGTTTGGTCCCGATCCACCACCTCGCAAGCACTGGGAAGCATTCCCTCCCCGAACGCAGTCCTGCGAAAAGCAGCAGAACCTGTGGTCCAGCCACCCCTCAAGGTTCTGCAGGACTCGGGGTCCGGAGCCATCCCCGGAGCCGGCGGGAGGGACAGCTGGGCTAGAACCGGGGTCTCGGCCTGGCCCCAGGACACCTCCTTCCTCACTCTGGGTCAGAGCCATCAGGATTCTATTCTCAGTTCAAACTCTACATTCTAACAGATGGCGCTTGGCGCTGTGACTTCCGAACCACTAGAGGGCGACGTATTGCTGGGTAATTCACAAGGACACATGACATCAACTTCAGGGTAAACAGTGAAATCTAATCTAATATAAATTATTTTATCTCGAATTGTAAACTTCCATTTGGTAATCATTACTGTGTCACTAAGTATTTTCCCAGTAGATAGTCCACATCTGCACATGATACAATCCGAGACAATGACAGCTGGCTGGTGTATGGAAGTTAACCAATACAAACCACATCCAAATCTACCAGAGCCATCACCAAGTTAAATAAAGAATGAGCTCTTGTTTTAAAATAAAGTGTGCAAAACACGCCAGCATGCACACACAACCCCCCCACACACACACACGTGTGTGAATAAAACCAACAGATGCCATTCCCATGCTTTCATGCAGTCTGACCCTGTCCATGCTAAACACGAGACATTTTCAAGACTCATTCCCCTGAAAGTCCTCTCATTAGCAGCTGACTCTGAATTCGTCTGAGCACTGCTACGAGGTGTGGGTTTTAGTTCTCAAAGAAGAAACATCAACTGAAAGTTATTTTTAGTCCAACTTATTTTCTAGACGAAAAGCAAATAGAAATCATGTTTTGGAAAAAAGGGTATTAATAGCTACATTTTTTGAGAATGAAAAACCTTCTGATGGAAAATAGTAAATTTGGATAGAGTCGCTTACAGGCACCCCTGTTGGCGCACAGGGAAGCCCTTTGTGGTGCAGGCTGCTCCGTGCACAGCGGAGTGGTTCCAGCTCTGCAAGAGGTGACCTCACCGAGGATGATGTCACCGTCTTGAAAGAAAGATAAATAACGCCCGGCCATGTGTTACAATCTGAGGAACTAGGATATGAAGGTGAGGTCATCATCTAAAAATATGTGCGCACTTGGGGAGCTATACACGGTGTTTGCATCTTTCCTTAAAAGCTGCAACAGCTGCCTCCTGACCATGGACAGCTATGGTTTTAGTCCAATGTTCCCTCCAACAAACAAGATGGACCGAGATTTACAATTATAAATAAACTAGACACCCTGTCACCGTAGACTGGTTTAGTTATTCACAGTGTTTCAATCGTGTTTGATAACAAGAAAGAAACCTGTGCAGCAGAGGGAACATTGGCTGTAAACACATCTGAGTTAGTACTTTCCACCTCTTCCCACGTCGCTGTAACAGACACCCCACTCACCAGCTCCAACTCCTCTTCCTCCGACTGCGCTCGCACAGAGAGGGAGAAGAGAGTTAGAAGCGGCTGGTACTCGAGAGAAAGTCTTTCTTTAGGAAACGTTACGCGGACGTGAGCGCTACAGGCAGCACCCGGAAGTGACTGCTTGTCTGCACTTGTGGACGTCAGGCGCCTGGGAAGATGCCTGTCAATCCCCCAGGGCCAGGCTCAAAGGCGTGTCTCCCCAACTCCATCTACCCTTCTGGCTGCACCTGGGCACAGGCTGCTGCCACAGGTTTTGAGGGGCTCCGGCCGGCGGGGCTCAGTGGCATCTGGATGGAAAGCCCTCCCCTTTGCTTTAGGACTTCGTGTCTGGGCCCTGGCTCTTCCGCACCAACCCCGCCTGCTTCCTCCCTCCACCAGCCAGGGCAGCTCCTGGGTGAATGAGCTGATGACGGGCCGTGTGGGCACCCATCCGCACTAGTGGCCCTGATGCAGGATCTCTCTCATTCCGAAGCCTCAGAGGGCGCCGTCAGCGGCCACCCAGCCCCGAGGACACCTGGGTGCTGGCAGGCAGCTGCCACACAGCATCGCTGGAAAGCCTGCGCGTACAACGTCTTTCTACAGAGACGGGGGGACAGACACCCTCTCTGCTTCCAGACCCCGGGTTCGGAAGTAAGCGAGGCTGGGACTGCAGACCCCGCCAGCGGCTGGGCCAGGGAGACCGTATTCTTCATAGACTCAAATGGGAGGGTTTTTTTGAGAAGAAATAAAAAACTTACTTGCAGAATAACTCATTCACTTTTTTATGCATCCTTCCCTGTTCCACCACAGCTCTCCTTGGCATGTAGAACTTTCTAATAAATAATAGTGTTTCCTCACAGAAAGCAGGCACAGTAGGTGACTAAAAGGAGGCCCTCCACGGAGAAAAATCACCTCTCCCTATTGAGCTTTGACTTAAATCGCCATTACCAGGTTCATTCCTGGTTCTCCATACTCTGATCTCTGTGCACTTAAAATTGACTTGTTCCTTCAAATGTTAACTTCACATAGAAATAATCATTAGGAACAAGTCTAGATTCTAGGGAAATACGAACATTCCTAAAGAAAATATAGACCGAGCCCGGCTGGTGTGGCCCAGTGGTTGAGCATCCACCCAGGAACCAGGAGTTCAGGGTTCAGGTCCCCGTCAGGGCACGTGCCCGGGTTGCGGGCTTGATCCCCAGTAGGGGGCGTGCAGGAGGCAGCCGACCCATGACTCTCATTATTGATGTTTCTCTCTCTCCCCCCCTTCCTCTCTGAAACAATTAAAAATATATTTTTTTAAAAAGGAAATATAGACGAGTGTGTGTAGAATTCGTGCTCTAAGGAACGAAACGGAAGGGAAGAGTGACGTACCAGGGGCGGCATCAGGCCCTTGCTGGACGGAGGGATGACAACGCGAAGGTCCGGTTTTCGACTGTTCATGCCAAGGTTGCCGCCACCTGGAGGGGGGGGAGACTTTGTAGGCATCACTTTGCCTAAGCTATTCGCACCCGTGGTTCCAATTAAATTTGGAGAAGCTCTTGAGTTTACAAAGCCATTCCCTGGAAAAAAGAAACATCGCTCATTAACATAAACAGTCATCCACATACTCGGGTGTGAATACGAAGCAAGCTTTCCCCAGTTCTGTAAGGAAACTCATTAGTAGCTCACCGCGTACCTTTGAACATTTTTAAAATAAGCAGAGGAACTTGACCAAAGTGTGACATAGATGTAATGCTTAAGCTCAATGTACTACTATATTTCACAAACTAGAACAAATATTCCAAAAATGTACATGGAACCACAAAAGACCACGAATAGCCACTGCAATCCTGAGAAAGAAAACACAGCAGAGGTATCACGCTACCTGGTCTCAACTAGGATACCAGGCTGTAGGAATCCAAGCAGCATGGCACTGGCATAAGAGCTGACATGGGGGCGCATGGAACAGTAGAGACCCCCCCACAGGTGCGGGCCTAGGTGGTCAATGAGTCCATAACAAAGGAGGCAAGAACACGCAATGGAGTAAAGGCAGCCTATTTGGTGAGTGGTATTGGGAAAACTGGACAGACACGTGCAAAAACATTAAGCTAGACACCAGCTTACACCACACACAAAGCTGACCAAAAAAGAAAACATTCGGAACAGTGACCTCAAAGTTCCTGGGAGGCTGAGCGCCCCCGAATTCTCTGCTGGACTTGGCGTTGGCACAACTGTAGCAACATCTCAGCTCCCACACAGAGCTACCTGCACGATGTGGCAGTAAACCTTTACACCCGATTATGTGTGGAACACGCAGGGGGAGGGCATAGGAAAGAAATCTACATGGTCTTCACGCAGCTTTGTACTTAGATAGGGGCGGAAGCACACACTAGGGGCGGAAGCACACACTAGGGGCGGAAGCACACACTAGGGGCGCAAGCACACACTAGGGGCGCGCACGGAGCTTAGGAGGAGACAGACAGCTAGGCCCGCGCAGGCCTGGGGCTGTGGGAATGGCTCCGCGCAGGCTGCACGGACAGTGAGTGACAGAAGGCAGGCGCCGGGAAAAGGTGGGGACGGAAGGGACAGATAGCGGAGTCCCCGGCTGCTCCATGACCATCACAGGAAACGGCAGCTGTGTTTGCTCTGCTCCTTCCCTCCAGCAGAGAGCAAGACAGACAACTTTACAATCCGCCAAAGGTAAGTGCATACGCACACGCACCCATGGGAGACCTGCGAGGACCAGCACCTCAGTGTCTGCCACGTGCTGACACGGCCCGAACCCTCCTCTCGCCCGAGAGCACCCTGAGAAAGGCAGCGACAGGCCCCCGAGCGCGGCAGTGAGTAGGTGAGACACATGTGCAGCCGCAGGGGTGTTTGTCATTAAGAGCTGGGGAGCTGGTGATGGGGCCGCTTTAATTTCATCAGCGCTTCTTGTGTGAAATAGAAATATTATTTAGAGCCGCTTAAAACGTATAGAGCGTCTGGCAGTTCATGAAACATTTCAGGAACAGTATGTAAGGAATGGGGTCAACGGACAAATGGCTACATCAGTTCTGAAATTAAACATATATATAACTAGAAAGAGATGGAGTAAGTTCTTGAAGGCAAATCGAAGAAAACGGGCGCTTCAATACATCTGCTTATAACACAGAGCTTGAGAAAGCCATGTCACTTATTTATGAGACACTAAAAAGCGGTTTTGCCAACAGGACGGAATCCACTTCGTTGGCTCCGAACCAGCCTATTCCTAAGGGACAAGCAAAGCGGGCGGTGAGCTGGTGCGAGGACTGGCGCATCGCCTCCAGCTGTCACTCAGGACGTCAGGGTTCCTCCCGCCCCTCACACTCACCCCCACCCGGGCCTCTGGCTTCTCCAGAACTCGGCCTCGTGGCCCCAGCCGCAGTGTCTGCGCGACTTCGCCTGCTGTGGGTTTCGGGGACCCTCAGAGGCTGCCCCCTGCTCCCATCACCCTGAGGGGGACGTACTGGGCCCCGGCCGCCGCTCCTCTCCACACCCAGCGAGCCGTTTCCTGCCTCTGTGGCTTCAGAAGCAGGGCTGGTAGGAAAAGTCTCCCTCAGCCACCCCAGCGGGCAGAGACAACCGCCAAGCAAGGCATCTGGGCAGGAAACACTTATCAAATCCTTTCGGTCACAGACAGGACGGGTTACTAGGAACCAGAATGCCGGATTAACACGAACAGTGAGCTCAGCAGCCTTTCCTTCACAAAGTAAGGGCACAGTGTCTTTCTGTCTCTGATCGTGCTTGGAAGATGCTTATTTCCTTGCTGTGCACTCCAATCTGAAGGGTCAAGTCCTCTCAAACATTAAAAGGTGATACAAAGAGGTGATTCAGAAGAACGTTATCAAGAAGCGCTAGTTCTTCCCCTGTGGATGCTCTGAGGCCGTTCGGCTGGACAGGGCGGCTGGTACCCAGGGGTCCAGGTAGGAGAGAGAAGGGGATGGGAGAGCGCAGGGGACGGAGGGAGACGGGGACGGGAGATGCCCCTAGGTGCCCCATTCCTCTGAAATCAATAAAAATATATTTACAAAAACTACAAAGAAAACAAGACCCACCCAGTAAAGTGAACACTGAATGCAGTGGGAATGGCTGCTCCAGCCTCAGGCAGCTGGAGGTAAAGGGGGAGCAAGATGAATGGGGGGGGGGGGAGAAAGCGCAGGTGAAACACTGACGTGCACACAGCCACACAGAGATGAAAGGCTGTAAATATTTGGAAAGACACATCCAAGTGTGAGAGCCCTGACGGATAATTGGTGAGGCCTTTATGAATTTTTGCACATTAATTATCTATTCAAACAGATCCTACAACTGGTCTTACCTGTTTAATTCCAGTTAAATGGCACTGAACACGGTGGCAGATGTAATTGGGCATTTATTCCGACATCAGGTCGCTATGTTTGTAGCTCGTCTTACTAATGAGCCTGTTTATTTCTCTTCAGCGTAAATCAAGTTATTCAGCATCTCATCGTTTACTTGAGGAGAAGCTGGTTCCGTTTGTGTGAATGAGTGGGAGGCATGGGAACTGTCCCTAGAAGTCTCCCGGGCCCACATCAGTGCTAAGGCAGAGAGGAGCGCCTGCGTTTACTCTCAGGTCACTAGGACGGTAACCACAGATCGGAGACCAGGATGCCTTAGTAGGACTGTCATGGTAAGATCACAGTCTCTCTTCACCAGCCGCCTGGGTGGGGCGGACACACTGTGACAAGGGTTTAAGCTGCCAGTCCTCTTGGGAGGATCCCGAAGTGAGAAACCAGCGTGGCTGCGACCACGCCACCATGCGAGTGTCCTGCCGTGACCACCAGCGCCTGCGGACCCGCTGCTCACTTCTCTGTGCCTGAAGCAGCCGCCATTGCTCCCTGCAGCTCCCCACCCACATCTCCCGCTGTCAGGTGGATCGGTGGTCTGTTAGTCTAATTTTGGGAGAAGAGATGCTACAGAAAGCTTCTCCTTAACGGTGTTGATGTAAAAGTTGTACTGTGGCGATTCAGACTTTAGAAAAGAATGATGCCTGCTGGGAGGGGGCTCTCCACAAGTAACTGAGAACTGAACTCCAGGCCAAGGTGTGAGGAATAAAGCGGGGAGTTTCCAGGAAACGTGAGGCAGAGGAAGACGTGCCCTCAGGGAGAAACCAAGTCTACAAGGGAATGCCACCACCCCTTCCCTCATCGGCAGAGCCCGTGGGAGGGACCGTTCCCTTCACCACGGCCGGCAGGTGCCTACAGAGCGCGAGCGCAGGATCCACTCACCGACGGGGCTGCTCCCAGCTCCATTGGGCACCGTGAGGTCCGACGAGCTCAGCATCCCACCTGGGAGGGAGAGAGGACACGGGGTGAATAGGACCGGCCTCCTTATCAGCATATGAAGGAAGTGCACGGAGGTGGCCTCGCTCCACACCTAAGGGACACCAGGCCAGTCTGAACTTGGCATTGACGGGTAACGTACATAGGTTAGGTTACAGCCATCACTCCCTAAACGATAACTCATAAGTAAGGATAAAAATAACAATAACCATAATATAACCACAATATAAATAATACATTAATCAATAATAATGCCAGATAAACTGTGCCGCACACTCGCAGCTGCCGGCCTGCTCTGCCCGCCCTGCACACGAGCTCGCTGCCGGGCCCTGCGTGTGCCTGCCTTGCGGGTGTCAGTGCGGACAGTGCTCAGGGAGCGCTACCGACCAGGCACGGGGAGGCGCACATCCACTAAGGGAGGCCCTCAATGCACCGCGGATCCTGCTGAGTAATGAACACATTCAGGCAGGGAGAGATGCAAAAGCACCAGCTCCAATCAGTTAAATCCGTTCCGCCATTTTCAACATGAATGGCCCACACAACTTTAAATCTCTGCTCACGATGTCCTGCCCGTCCAAGCATGGCTGTCCCATGAGGAAGGCTGACAGTGGCGGGTGGTATATACTGCTCCCCTGGACCCGGCGCAGTGCCAGAGCCACAGCAGATTGCCAAAAATACTTTAGCCCGGCCGGCATGGCTCAGGGGTTAAGCATCGACCTATGAACCAGGAGGTCGAGGTTTGATTCCTGCTCAGGGCAGATACCTGGCTCGATCCCCAGTAGGGGGTGTACAGGAGGCAGCCGATCCACGATTCTCATCATTGATGTTTCTCTCTCTCCCTCCCTCTCCCTTCCTCTCTGAGGTCAATAACAATATATTTTTAAAAATACTTTAAAAGAAAGCCAGTTATTGCTTATTAAAACAATAATACTAAGAGCAGCAGCATGAAGAACTGCTTAGGGTAGCAATTTGGTTTGTTGGGTTTTTTTTACCCTTTTTGATAAAGAGCTGCCAGCACAGCCGTCACTACCTACCCGCACTGCCAGTGCTGGGCGGCCGCTGCGGGGCGCCGGGGGACACGGTCCTGTGCAGCGCGGCCTGCGGCGACGAGAGCATGCCCGAGTCCGCCAACGCGGAGCCGGCTGCCAGCGCCGGGGACACCAGGGCGCTCCCGGGGTTGGTGTAGGACAGAGCGTTCGGGCTGCTCACGGGGACCGTGACGGACATGGAGAAGTTCTGAGGCGGCAGCCCAGGCTGTAAAGAAAGAACAAGAAGAGAAGCTGTCAGTGTCATGTCCATCTATGTAAACACATTCACTTATGAACTTCACTAACTAACTAGTTATTAAAAGCAGAGGATGTGGACAGATCCTTATAAATCTTCAACTCGCAGGTGTAAGCGCTTTCCTTCAGAATTATATTTAAATAGGAGTATGTTTCACATGAACCTTTTCCATTTTTTATGTATTAATACATATATTCTGACATCATGTATATGTTATATATTTCAAACATTCAGAGATGAAAAAGTCAACCTAATGTTAAAGTACTGTGGTCAAATTTAGACATTACAAAATATATCGTGTTACCAAGTTAAGCATAAATCATCACTTCAATGAAACCAGTTTAGTAACATTACATTTCTATTGGGAGATTCCCATTATAATAGAAAGGGCAAAGTGTAGAAATATTATAAACTTAATACATAGAATTTCAGACATTATAAATAACCCTGGAATGATTTAATTGACTGACATTCTTAATGGACAAAACTAAAAACAACAATTAAGTTACATATGTAGCACAAAGCAATCCGAGGGTAACGAAAGGGAAAAAATAATCTAAACAATAAAATTAACAACTGACAAGTTCTCTCTAAATTGTCTGATGATTAAATTATAACTATTATCAATGCTATCTTCCTTCCCTCCAAACAGTCCACACCCCCTTCAAAGTATTTTCTGTTTTCCTTTCATTCCTGCATAGACCATTTTCAACGGATGTGTTAACCATGATAAATAACAATCCTTTTTATAATTTAAAATGAGAGAAAAACCTTTCCTCTTCAGACTTTTTAAAAGTGATTTGCAAAGTAAGGAAACACTGCTAATTCAAAGTTGGAAGAATACAGTTTATATATTCTATTCAATAGTTTATTTCAGGTAGAAAATTATGTCGTTAACAGACACGAAACAATGGACAAGATTTAAAATTTTTTCAAAGGTAAACACTTTTATTTACACAATATTTTTTGCAGCTTAACATTAACTGCAGGGTCACCAACATCCCTATGAGGTCAGAAGGAATTTTATTTTTTGTTTGCTATTGTTTTGTTTTTAAAGACAATGATGGTATTAGCACAAAAATATGTCCTTAAGTCTATCTTTCATGAGTGGCGTGTACAGTATAGGACTGCTCTGAAGAAATAACCCATGATGCATACTTCAGGGCATAGTTTTAAGAGCATTAACTCTGACGGTGAAATAAATATCAGCATCAGAACCAATGTGTCCCGTGAGGCCTACAGGACCCTCACAGCGTTTGAGACTCAGATTCCCAACAGCTGCCGTGAGGAGCTCTTGCCAACGGGGCTTCCAATGAGAACTCTTTGAAGAGCTGTCCAAGGAGCATGAGCTCAAAGAAAGACCGTTTCCTTATGGTTGGAGGTGTGAGCGTGGACAGTTCTGAACGACTATTCACTCTGCAACCAGGTTAAGAAGCTGCTTCTTAAACTGAAATAGAGCCGGGGCTCACAACATGAGGAAAAATAATTTTGAGCCCCACCAGCGGGGCTCAGTGGTTGAGCGTCAACCCGTGAACCAGGAGGTCACAGTTCAATTCCCAGTCAGGGCACACGCCTGGGTTGCAGGCTCGATCCCCAGCAGGGGGCGTGCAGGAGGCAGCCGATCCATGATTCTCTCTCATCATTGATGTTTCTCTTTCCCTCTCCCTTCCTCTCTGAAATCAATAAAAATATATTTTAATAATTCTGAAACAGCAAATTTTTTAATAAATCTAACCATTTTATACCCCATAGTCTCAGGATCTATTTAAAGTACATGAAATATTTTTTTAAGTCCTAGGAGGGAGAGGGCAGTCATATGCACCCTACAGATAAAATTGCTGAAATTCAGAGCTGACGAGACCTTAAACATGATGTGAGGCAACTCACTCCTTTACAGAGAAGGAAACTGGAATCCAGGAGGTGGTAGGTGCCCTACCCACAGGTACAGGGCGCAGTGGGAAGCGAGCCTGATTAGAACGTTTCTCCTCACGTCTATGTTTAAGGCACTGAACACGTATGATAAGATTTCAGCAATTCTGACCTAAAGTTCTATAAAGTAAAATATGTTTTTCCTCCTCCTCCTACTTATCACTGCCGTCACTGAAAATAAACAAGACGTGTGGTCAGTCTCTTCATGCACAAGTTAAAAGCACAAACCAGACGGTAGTACTCACTGCGATTTTATGATTCCGCATCATATTATCAAATTCCTCATTAATTTTTTTATACTTCTCTTCTGTATGTGGCGTTAGCACATAGGAAGTATCGGGGTCTGGGCTGTCGCACCCTCGGTGCTCCTTCTTGTTCAGAGCCTAGACGATGAAGTTAACAAAAAGGATCAACACATCACAAGTAGAGGCGAGGGGAAGTACTTACAGGGCCTCGTTTGAACATAAAATCCCCCTCTTCATTTAGTTTGCTGAATCTGTCCTCCGAGAGTGGACTGTGCTCAAAGTAATCGTCAGCATCGGGGCTCTCACAACCATTAAGGCCTTTCTTTCTTAACGTCTGAAACACAATTGGAAAGTTCACACACACAGGATACTGACGTGCCGCGAGGTTTTCTGTAACGTCGACTACGAGCACACAGGAGCCACTGGCATGGTCTCACGTGATCACATGGACTTGGTTCCTCCGTGAGGCAGAAGCAAAATCCATGTTCCCTCTGCACCCCAACAGCAAAGGAGTATTTGGGTGGACTCTTCCTTTCCGAACTTGCAAGAGAATACTGACCCATGGCTCACCGCTCTCCAGTCTCAGCCCACCCTGATGAGAGCCTCACCCCCATATGTATCATGATGACGCCCCGAGAAGTTAGGATGGTACCTTAAAAAAATGGACATTTCAGCCACTTCATCTACTGACTGTGCTCTGAGAGTTTATCCTAATCCCCAGGGAGAATCACATCACCACAATATCCCAAAAATTTCCTTCTTCACCTGCTCTGAAATACGATCATTTTCCTACATAACTTTGAAGTATACAAACTCAAATACTTATTTAATATATGACAGTAACGACTCCCTATATAGAATGAACGTATTAGCGCCCTTACATCTTTTTAAAATTTGTAAAAATAAGTGACTCAGCATTATCTCCCTTATTCTTTCCATAGCGTTTCATGGGTTAACTTAATCCACTCAAGTGACTTCCTGGAGAATTTTCTCGAATGTCAGCAAGTATCCCTGCACCAAAATGACTTTTCTTCTTCTTCTTACTAATATAGTGAAAATACTGTGCACAGCTGGGTTTCTACTTTTAAATTTTTTAAATGAAAAATCATCATGAAGTGATTTGTCCAGTATTTAAAACCAAGGGCTTGACAATCTATGGAATACTAACTTACTTCTAGAAGGTCTGTTTTTAAAAGTCCTCGTGGATCTTATTTCACAGAATTCCTGGGTCCAACAACTTAAGTAGCTTTGAGATTTGTTGATTTTCCAGGAAACCAAAGGGAAGTTTTAGGAAGTTGAAATTTTCCAGGTAAGCCTACCTCCCAGAGTTCATTTAACTAGGAAATGGTTTGATCCACAGACCAGCACTAGATAAGTTCATTCATAAATAATTATTTAAATTCGATTGAGGAATCTTTTAAATTAATCCATCGTAACAGATTTTGGCCTCCTTTAAAACATGACTTACAATAATTGTGAATGCCACTTTTACTCCTCTTTTCTTGGAAGAAGTAAAAAGTAATCACACAATACATTAAGATTTGTGACTTTTTTCTTAGTTTCTCTGAAGTAGTTATTTTACCATTTCACTTCACTCAATTTGATTTTCTTTTCATGCTTAAAGAACCACCAAAAATCATTAGGACAGATACATTAGCGTCTCAAACTACTCGGTATGTGCTAGGAGCCCCACGCACAAGGCCCGACACCCACCAGTCTCCGACCATAGATCCAGCACACCCTGCAGCTGGTCCCAGCACCGGCCTGAGCCCTCGGGGCTGCGGTCTCACTCAGCACAGGGACCGGTGTGCGCTTGGCCATAAAAGGTCCTGCTGTTTGGAACCCAGGATGAGGACAGGCGCCCTCCCCCCGCAGCGCCCGCCCTGCCAGAGCCCGCGAGCTGCTATCGCAGGAAGGTGTTAACACTCAGAACTCTGCTCCGAGGAACTCCATGCCCGCACCGCCCTGACACAGAACACACAGCAGGTGCCTCCGCACATGTCATCATCATGAGGCGGCCGCCTTCTCCCGGCCCCACGTCCCCGGACGGCTCCCTCCTCTTCCTCAGCCTTCCGAGTAGACCACGCAGTCTTGCGCTTTCACTGACAGCGATCAAGTGCGTGTCTCTTTGAACACCTTTTGTTACGAAGAAACATGGCCTGTTTAGCAGTTACACCCGGTGTTCCCTGCACAACGGTGGGGTCAGCCTGCTCGCTCTCCGGGGAGCGGCTCTCACCGGCCGGGCCTGGAGGGAATGCGAGCCGCTATCAGCCGCAGATAAGGAACTAATGTGCCTCTGCCGGAGCCAACTGCGCCCTTATCGCCCGAGCACTGAGGACCCGCTACCTAAAAAGGCCTTTTCCGTCTCCTTATCGTGACCACACAGCCCACAGCGAGGGCTCCGGGCCGGGTGCTAACAAGTGGAATGCTGTGATCTGCGAGGCCGGGCGAGGCGGAGAAGACACAGGCCGGCCTCGGCTCCACGGCTCCCGGGAGCCGCCACCTGCCTGCTCGGCAGGGCCAGGCCTGAGAAGCTGCGTGTTTAACTCCTGCCTAAGAGAACTAGCATGTTCCTCAGTGTGTGCTCCGTTCTGGGATGGTAACTGTCAAATTCCACTCCACACTCACGGAGCCTCCGCACTCAGAAGTGAAACTACGGGCCTGCAAGTACTCAGAGTGTCGGCCCGGGTTTAACTGCCCGCGCAGCTCAGCGTACATCCCTCCACGCTCAGCCTCCCTTCCGCAGGCAGCTGAGCAGCGCATGCCCCCTGGGTGCCGGCTGAGCGGGGAATCAGTCAGACGGAGCACAAGGTACAAATGAGCACGTGTGAAGTAACAATAATGTCGTAAGTCGCAAGGAACTTAGACCATTAGGATTTTTTAAATGAGAAAAGTTCTCCCTTTCCCCATTTTTAATAATTGTCCCCAATTTTGAAAGACACTTCTTATGTTTCCTAGACAAGGTGAAAATGCAGAAAAACATTTAATGTTTTTTATTTTCATTGTGAAGCATACATAAAGAAAAGTACATCAAGCCCGGCCGGCGTGGCTCAGTGGTTGAGCATCGACCCGTGAACCAGGAGGTCATGGTTCAATTCCCTGGTCAGGGCACATGTCCGGGTTGCAGGCTCGATCCCCCATAGGGGGAGTGCAAGAGGCAGCCGATCAGTGATTTCCGATAGAGGAAGGGAGAGGGAGAAAGAGAGAGAAACATCAATGATGAGAGAGAATCATGGATCGGCTGCCTCCTGCACGCCCCCTATTGGGGATCGAGCCCGAAACCCAGACATGTGCCCTGACTGGGAATTGAACCGTGACCTCCTGGTTCATGGGTCGACCCTCAACCAGTGAGCCACACCGGTTGGGCCGTATGTACATTTTTGCAGATAGTCTACACATCTGCACACACCTCTCTAAAGTATTTGAGTGAAGCTGTTAGTTCATAAAATGTCCTTCTTCAGTTGGACCAGACGATGCCACACTTTCTCAGCAGCTGTATCAGCGGACATGTCCCACCTGCGACGAGGACTGAGTCTGCGTTGCTCTCGTGACTAAGACAGTAAAGCACGTGTCATATCTACTGGCCATTTGGGTTTTCTCTTGTGTGAAGTGCCTGTCAAGTCCTTTGCCAAGTTTTCTCCTGAGCCGTTTCTCTTCCTTATTGCTTTAGAGCCTTTGTTTATTTGTAATCAACGCAAGTCCTGTGCTAACTGTATGCGCTGTAAAAACCTTTCCCCGTTCTTCGGCATGTTTTTTTAATACCTGTCTGGATGAAAATGGTTCTTAATTTTAATCAAGTCGAATGTCCCCACTTTCTCCTTTACAGTTTTCCCCGATGGCAGTAATTTTTATGTCTTGGATAAGACGCTTTCCCTTCCTCGACATGATGCAGACATTTTCCTATTTATCTTCTAAGAAGTCTGATCATTTTGCCTTCCCCAGTGCGGGTTACACTTCCCGTGAAGGTGGCTTTTCCCAGAGCACTCGGCTGGCTGCGTAGGCTCTGCAGTGTGTGTGTGTGTGTGTGTGGGGGGGGGGGGGGTGTCCCGGGAGGCACAGACTGCCTGACAGCAGAAGCACCCGGACTTTTCCTTCAGGACACAGCCTGCACCCCACTTACTCTCCCTTCCCCAAGTGAGACCCACTCTTCTTCCTACACCTCAGCATTACTAACCACCTATGGAATTAAGAGATGAGAGAACAGTCTATTTTCAAAAGCTATAAACCTCTTTAAAATGCTCATTTTCTGCGGCCAAGGGCCATGGGATAAATATCAAATGCCACAGCCTGGTGTTCAAGGCGCTCTCCCCATCAACCATCTCCACCTGCCCCTTCCTTACCGGATCACTCCCCTACACAAACCCTACTGCACACGAGGGTGTGCCCGGCCGGCCTGGCTCCGTGGGGGAGTGTCCACCTATGAACCAGGAGGTCACAGTTCGATTCCCAGACAGGGCACATGCCAGGTTGTGGGCTCGATCCCCAGTGTGGAGCGTGGAGGAGGCAGCCGATCCATGATTCTCTCTCATCATTGATGTTTCTTCTCTCTCTCCCTCTCCCTTCCTCTCTGACATCAATAAAAATATTCTTTTTAAAAATTGGAAGGTGGATAAATGAGTGTCGTGTCTTTCTCACTATCCGTTTATCCCACAAGACTCCAACACCAACGGCTTTAGAATGTATTTAGCACAGCGCTCCCAGACAACATACAGATCCAATTCCACAGGCACAACACACGTGTCCTCACGCTGCAGACCATGCAGGTGTGGCTAACACAGGACACCCGCCCTCCTCTCTCTTCACAGAGCGTCCCGCAAGGGCTGGTGTGTAGCACACATGGAAATGCATCTATAGTTGACTCCACTTTAATAGTCAGCGCTCTGCCAAAGGACATTCAGGTAAAATCCTGCCGATTGTAGAGACGAACAAATATGCACCCGGAAATGGGTGAATTCAGCTAGAGGCCTTAGGAAAGCTGCTCACCAGGTTCCCAGTCAGTTACACTTGACCGTATTGCATAAGGAAACACACTAGAGCCGACCACTTATAGCGGTTTATATGCTTCCATTTCATGCTACATGAGAAGGCTAAAGAGTCTAGACCACCGCACACCAACGTGTTAGAGGTTCGTGGATATAAAATCCTCAGCTGGAAAAAGCTGATCTCAATGGGTTATCAAACTTGGGCAGGAGGAACGGGCACTGGCTTGAGCTGGAGCTCTCCAAGTAACACCACGGCAGAGCCCACGCTCACAGGAGCCCCAGTTACTGTTGTCCAATGAGCAAATGGACATCAGAAAGAGGGCTTGCAATTACTACAGCTGTTTGAAAGGGAACTCGGAAAAGGGGAAATACAATCGCATTCTAAAAATATCTTTAAGTGAGATATCTGTAAAGCACTGTGAAGTGTCTGGGCCCCAGGCAGCTCGATATGAGGATTTGTCATTTCTCTTATCTGGTGAACTCGGGGTGGCTCAGAGTCTGTGCTGCCTGAGCATAAGCCAGGGCCAGGGCTGATAGAAGGACTCAGACGTGTGCGCACTGCTAGTGAGGCCGAGTTGTAGCACCTTCTATGTGGGAGAAAGAACATCTTACAGGTGCACCCACCGCTGTCTGAAACGCAGGCGACCTCAGCAAGGCATTAACACACAGCAAAGGAGAAGCAAGCCTTAGCATGCATTCTACCACAGCAAATGAGTCCCTGATCATCAACTGTCTCCTACCCTCTGCATTTATGAACTTCATAAAAACCTGCTGGTAAGAGTTATGTTCCCTCTACGAATTCCAACTCTAAAGAAAATATCAGAATCCCAGTGGATACCTGGGCTGCAAAAGTTCTCCTTCCTATTGAAGCAGATGTAGCAACACAGGAGATGGCTGAGAAGTGCTGAGACCTGCTCCCCGACACTCGGACGCAGAGATGAAGATGGGGTGTCTCCTGGAAGCTCTGGGAGGACCGAGTGAGACCGTATTCTTCCTGGTCTCTGAGGAGGCACATGCGGCCTGTGCGACGCACACTCGACTCCTGGGGCCCAGAGCGACACTGCTGCCCCCGTCATAGAGCAGAGAATCAGGTCAGAAGGTGGCCGCGCCTTCCACGGGAAACTAGCTCCGACATCTATTTGCTGACAGTATTACAGTCAACTCTGTTTTTTTTTGGTTGACTTAAGGCACTGCAACCTTGTATAAGAAATCGAGATTTTAAAAAGAAGGTATCATTTTAAACTAAACACACAGGGATCATCCCCATTTCAAGAAAATCCAGTTATGAAATCTCTGTTAAAGCGAACCCGAATGGTGATCTCCTCATTTACAAAGTTATGACTCAAAATGCATTGTGTCTATATAAAGGGAAAAGGCTGCTGCATAGTTCGTGCTGGATGTAAGTGATGAGATGGACCAAAAATGCTCAATGATATACAGTAATTTACAGTGAAGGGGCGTGGCCAACGTCACCGCGCAGTTTAAGCGAAGCGCTCAACAAGCAACAAACAAAAGCGTCAGACACTGTCAGGGGAGGCTACCCGAGTGAGACACTGAAATACAACCCGGCAAATCAAGCAGCAGAGACGAGGCCTCACTGTAATTATGCTGCACTTTTCCTTCTATTTTCAAACAACTAACTGCTTTAAAAGGAACAGAAGGGCTCTTTTAATACAAGTAGGAGAATTTTTTTTTTGGCAGTCACAATTACTGTGAAAAAAGGAATGGCTAAGGCAGAGAAATATAGGGAAAACATATACATCTCATTGTCAGATCTATAATATAATCTGTGGCAGCAAATAGATGCCTACACAATAAAGTATCTTCACCTAAATTTAAATTATTTGAATGAAATCTAGATTGGAGCTTCATTCCTTCTTTTAAAGTTGGTTGTGCATCATTTCACATGGTTTCAGTACTTTCACCAAGGAAATACCTAATTTATTGAAATCATTTTCTAATATTACAAGATTAAGCCATAGTGTGTCTCTTTTCAAGGAGTAAAATAAATATGAATAAAAATGAAGCAAAATCTCCAAATATAACAAATAAGACAAAAGTAAAGACTGAGCTAACTGTAAATGCCATTAGGAACATACACGGGACGCTAGCTTTCATGAGAAGAGTTTGCAAGGAGAAGCATGTTGGTTTTAAAACACCATTTCTGAATAGAGAGAAATCGTTCTAAAAACAATCCCGTCTCTTTCCTTCCCGCCAATGAGGTTGGCGGAATTAAGATACTGACGGGCAGCAGATGGAGGAGAATGGGGCATCCTTCCCCCACAACTAAAGCGCTATTAGCAAGAGAGAAATCGTATCGACATCCCTTCCTTTCACTTCATTAGTGGTTAGAGTTGTGGGCAATCACTGACATAATCACACAATTAAGACATTAAAGCTGTAACTCAGAGTGATAATCATTTCTTAGAATATTAACTTAAAAACAGGGGACGTGCTAGATGATGCTGGGTCTATGGTACCACAGCCTCGTTTATTGTGTCTCCATGAGTAGGACACGGTTATAGCCGAGGTGGTTCATCCCATGCAACAACTAGATCCTCCTAAGAAATGATCCAGCCCAGCTGGTATGGCTCCGTGGTTGAGCATCGACCTATGAACCAGGAGGTCACATTTCCATTCCCGGTAAAGGGCACATGCCCGGGTTACGGGCTCGACCCCTGGGGGGGGCCTGCAGGAGGCAGCCAATCAATGGTTTCTCTCATCACTGATGTTTCGATCTCTCTCCCCCTCTCCCTTCCTCTCTGAAATCAATAAAAATATATTTAAAAACAAAGAAATGATTCAGAGACAAGATGTATCTATGACTGATCTACAGCTGGGATGTAGAAAGCATCTAGCAGTTACAGCTGTTACATGAAAGACGCGGTGATGCCTGCGGTCCAGGCGGAGGGGCCGTTACCTCGACGATGTCCGAGTTGGTCCTGCTCTCGTGCGGCTCGTTGTACTCGGTGTACTTGAGCAGCACCTTGTCCATGTCGGTGCTGGCGTACTGGAACAGCTTGTTGGAGCTGTTGAAGATGATGAGTGCGATCTCACAGTCACAGAGCACGCTGAGCTCATAGGCTTTCTTCATCAGCCCGAACTTCCTCTTCGTAAAGGTGACCTAGACAAGCAAAGGGGAAAAGGCCTTTTTTATTAAAAGCTTTAGTAGTCGCCCTGCCGGTGTGGCTCAGCGGTTGAGTGTCGACCCAGGAACCGAGAGGTCACGGTTCGATTCCCAGTCGGGGCACAGGCCCGGGTTTCGGGCTCCATCCCCAGTGGGGGGTGTGCAGGAGGCAGCTGATCCATGATGTTTCTCTCTCATCGATGTTTCTATTTCTCCATCCCTCTCCCTTCCTCTCTTTCTAAAAATCAATTAAAAACATTTGTAAAAAGCATTAGTAGTACTTGAATGTAGGCTCCCTGAAAATGAGTCTTCTTAATGCTGAGTCCGAGTTTGAAGATGGAAAAGGTTCCTAGCTTCACACCCCCCATGTGCCTCTACCTCCCCATCTGCCATAGTGCGACAGTCCCGTGTGGATCTTGTACCTCCACGGGCTCTGGGCCATAGTGCGACAGTCCCGTGTGGATCTGGTTTCTCCACGGGCTCTGGTAGGGCAGCCTCCTAGGGGCTATTGCTTACCCCTGGCCCTGTTCTCCTGCAGAAGGCAAGGACCACAGAAGGAAACAGGTGCCAGTGGCCCCTGACCGTCTGGCTTTAAGTGGTTCCCACCAGAAACCCCAAGTCCTCCCTCCAGGAACCCCTCCTCCCTCGACTCTTCCCCACACAACTGCACTGAGCACACCTGACCTAACGCGTCCTCTCCCAGGCCCTCGTGTCGCACCCACTGAAACGCACAGCCTAGGACCAGCCGCTCCCTAGTGTCCTCTGAACGTTCTTCCCATCCCTGCAGGCCTCTCAGACAGAGACCCATCTTTGTTCAGCCTGGGAGATCCGTCCTTTTTGCTCCCCAGTCTCTTCTAAATTATTTTTCCCTCCTTCCCCTTCAAAACCCCAGGTACTTTCAGCTCACGCCATGGCATTTATACCACCCAAGCCCCCGTGGCAGGCACCCAGCGACCCCCTGGCCCTCTCCCTCGCACACTGGTAAGCATCACCTACCCACCTCTCTGCCTAGCCCGGCTCGTATTCTGTCTCTGGTGACTCAGCATGGGGGCGGGGGGGGGGGGGGTTGTGAGGGGGGGATATCACTACAAAACACCGTGGCCTCTCAGTTCCTGCGTCTCCCAACGCCAGATGACCAGCCTCTACCACACGCCAAGTGCCCGCTCCTGAAGGCACCTGTAACTCCGCCCCCAGCAATCAGCTCCTCCGTTCCGCTCCGCCGGCCCCTCTCCAGCTGGCCCACGTGTGCTGTGTCTCCAGAAACTCTTCCACCTTTACCAACCCCCGTTACCCATCTCACCACGCTGGTACCGTCTGTCCTCTCGGATCCCATGGTCCATCACTATTTTCACTCCCTGCAAACACAACTTCCTCCCTCTTCCCTCTTCATATAGTTGCCTGCAGAGCCCTGCCCAGGGGCCGACCCCCATCCTTATACCCAATGATCCCTGCGTCTCTATCCAAGTAGCTCACACTTCTGGGAACACACACACACACGCACACACACACACGCACACGCACACAACCACTTGGTGTTTCTAAACTGACAATCATAAACCTCAACCAGCCCTCAGTGTTGCCTGGCAACCACGACGTGGCCTGTCTGACGGGCCCGTTCTCCCAACTACTTCCTACCTGCCCTCCCTCCAACCCACTCACTCTCCGCTGAGGAAACAGAAATGGGCAGGAGCTCGCTCATCTCCCTTCTCATCCCAAGTCTGTCCGTTCAAACGCTCCATTACCTTCCCACGCCCTCCCATCTCTGCTGTTGGTGACGGCACTTCCTTCCGCTCCCATTCCTTCCCGTACACTCCAGGCTCCTCCCCACCAGTGGCCCCGTCCTCTCCTCCAGAGCAATACGCTCTGGACGTGCTCTGGCCTCTCCTGACCCCGCCCTGCTCCTCAGGCGCCGCCCCTTCTTGCCCTACCCCGAGTGCACATGCCTGATAGAAACACCTATACAGTGGGGCCTTGACTTACGAGTGTCCCGACTAACGAGTTTTTCGAGATACGAGCCGTCTCTTGGCGATTTTTTGCTTTGAGTTTCGAGCTAAAATTCGGGTTACGAGCCAGCTTCAGATACCCCACCGCTAGTTGGCGCAGCGAACGTCACAGTGAACGCCACAACATCAGCCCAGCATCACGTGTCTCACTCGTTCACTTTATGATTTGACATACGAGTAATCTGAGTTACGAGCTCCGTCACGGAACAAATTAAACTCGTAAGTCAAGGCCCCACTGTACCTTCTCCAATCTCATGCCACCCATTCACCTCAACCTGCTGCCCTCAGACTCCATTCCCCGTGGTCCATGAAGACTTGTTAACATCCCCAAATCCTTCCGTTTATGTGACTGAAGTCAGTGGTCACTTTTGTTCACAACTTAGTCTATATCTCAGCGAGGCTCCAGAACACACCCGCTCCCCCCGCCCCCCGGCCCCCCACCACAGTCCCGGGGCCTGTTCCTGCTGTTCCTTCCTAGGGCATCACCTCTGGCTTTCAGCACTTACAAGGCTTACTCAAGGGCAAGAAACAGTCTGCAGGCACAGAGCAAGCATCAGAAGCACAGCCGACCTGCTGGAATCAGCCCTAGGCGGTGTGGCTCAGTGGGTAGAGCACCGGCCTGAGGACTGAAGGGCCTCGGTTCAATTCCAGTTGAGAACATGTACCTCAGTTGCAGGCTCAATCAGGGCACGCGAGGGAGGCAACTAAGCGATGTGTCTCTCTCACATCGATGTTTCTCTCTGTCTCTCTTCCTCCCTTCCACTCTAAAAATCAATAAAAATAAAAAGAGATGTTGGAATTATCGGACCAGCAATTCAAAACAGCTATGATTACCATACTAAGGCTCTCATGGAAAAAGTAGACAGCATGCAGCAACAGGTAAGCAGAGAGGTGGAAATTCTTTTCCTAAAAAATTCTTCTTAAATGCTGGCAATAAAAACACTAACATAAATGACTGTCTTTGATGGGTCCATCAGCAGGATGCAACTAATGAGGGAGAAACCTCCGCGCTTGAGGCCATGTCAACAGAAGCTGTAAATAGCAGCAAGAGAAGAAAGAGAAATAACAGAAGAAATATTTGAATCATAACATTTGAGAATTTCCCCAAATTAATGTTAAGACACCGAACCACAGATCCGGGAAGCTCAAAGAACACCAAGCAAAATAAATGCGAACAACAAACAAACAAAAACCCCTCCAAACCCAGAAACGACAGCAAGGCATATGATATATAAGCTATAAAAATCAAAGATAAGAATATCTTGAAAGAAGCCAGAGGGGAAAAAAGCACCTTATCACATGAGTGTAAATGTAAGAACTGCATCCAAGTTCTCCTCAGACACACGCAATGCGGACGAGCACACGGATACGCTCCAAGTGTCGGAGGGCGGGGGAGGACCCACCAACCTGAAATGCTGTATCTTGAGAAATTATACTTTAAAAGAAATAAAGACCTTCTCAGACAAACACAAATTGTTGTGCACAAGCAAAACACAGTTTGTTAATGTATTATTATTTATTACTAGTGGCCCCATGCATGAAATTTGTGTATGGGAGGGAGGTCCCTCAGCCCGGCCTGCATCCTCTCCAATCTGGGACCCCTCGGGGGATGTCCAACTGCCGGTTTAGGCCCAATCCCAACTGTCAGTCGGACAACCCTCTCGCAATCCGGAACTGCTGGCTCCTAACCGCCTCTGCCTGCCTGATCACCCCTAACAGCCTCTGCCTGCCTGATCGCCCCTAACTGCTCCCCTGCCAGTCTGATTGCTCCTAACCGCCTCTGCCTCGGCACCGCATCAGGGGCCCAGGATTCCCTCCTCCAGCCGGCCGCAGGCACCCAGGACCTCGGGGTGTGCAGTTTTTCTCTCTCTCCTGAGCCACAGCTGCAGGTGCCGGCACCCAGGACCACAGGCAGGGGGCTTCGTCAGGAAGGACATCCGGAAGATGTCCGGTCTAATTAGCATATTACCCTTTTATTAGAATAGATTTACTGAAGGCCCAATGCATGAAATTCGTGCAAGAGTAGGCCTTTCTTCCCTTAGCTACCGGCACCGGCTTCCCTCTGGCACCCAGGACCTGGGCTTCACCTGGGACCCGGGCTTCCCCTGCAGCCTGGCTTCCACCAGAAGGACATCCGGTCTAATTAGCATATTATGCTTTTATTATACAAACAACTGTAAACCTACTTTTGCCCACCCGGTACATAAATGATGTAGAATATTTGTGATAACAAGAGTTGTAAAAAAATATGATTATGTTTTGGTTAACCTGAAAGTTTAACTGACCAGAACGCATTCACTGATAGCTGTAGTTAACTTAAGAATTACCTACATATGAAAATAGAGGTGATAAATTTAAATGATCAATATGTAGGATACTAATAATGAAATGTACAGAAGAATATATATATTATGAAAAATGTACACAATTAGTGTACATAAAATCACTGCAGGGATGTTACTTTTCTTCTTTCTGCCTATGTTTTTGTAATTAACACATATGATTTCTGAAATAAAATGTTTCCTTAAAGCACATGATAAAATGCCAAAACTTTCTGATTGCTAAAATATGTAATTTAGTCTAAAAATAAAAATATTTAGACTTAAAATTATGTGTAAGAAAAATTCAACGTTTATCCTACACTCCTTTTTAAAGAAAAAATATTCACATCTGTTAAATAGATAAATTAAGACGTTCACTTACCTGTCGGTTCCTTTCATCCATTATGCGTGTGATTTGTATTTTCTTCCGCCCCATTTTCGGTCACCTTTCCTCCCTTCTGTTCCAAATATTTTATTCAAAAATTATTTTTCTTCAATAGCCTAATGCATCATACACGGCTTCTGTTACTGCAGCTTCTAGTCCCAGGGCTACCGCTGAAATTTTCTGTAAGATCTAAAAGAAAACACAAATTCGAAAATTTAGGTTCTATAGATTTGCAAATCATGACAATGCTGTACTAATTTCAAACCTGTTTTGATGCTGCATGCGGACGGTAGTATTAGTTGCATTTCTGGTCACATAAAACCAGTAATGTGAAGCCCTTCCTCCCAGGCCCGGGCCCTGGTCGGGGCGTGTGCAGGAGGCAGCCCATCGATGTGTTTCTCTCACATCGATGTTTCTCTCTGTCTTTCCCCCTCTCTTGTACTCTCCCTAAAAATCAATGGAAAAATATCCTCAGGTGAGGATTAACAAAAAATAAAAAAAGTTGCAGCCTTGTTCACTCGACCCCTAAAATATCTCTTAAGTCTTTTTGTACTCCTGGCTACAAGAGTGCGACTGTAAACTCTTGAGTTTTTCCTCCAGGCTTATGACTATAGCAACAAGAGCCAAGACTTAGGAGATTTTTCTGTGTGCCAGGCGCTTTTCTAAATACCGGATACGTTTTCATTCATTCAACCCTAACTGCCATCTTCTGAGTCATTTGATAGCTAGGATTACTGAAACACAGAGATAGTATGTAACGTGTCCAGGGTCACACAGTAAGAGGCGTAGCGTAGAATATGAACACAAGGAGTCTAGCTGCAGAGCTTCTCCTCGTAAACATTATCAAATACCCGTAAAGGCTTCTGATGGCTAACAATCTGATAGCTCCAATCTGCCTTTACAAACTTCCTGCAAACTGCCACCGCCACCAGCAAAAGTACGATTTGTCAACCCACAAAGACACTCTCTACTTCCCTAATAATATGCACTTACTGTAATGCTCTTCTGTTGGCTATTTAATGAACCCTCATCCATCGGAACGGCATTTCCCTGATGAAGCCAAAATCAATGCCCCGGAGTAGAATCCACCCAGCACCTTACTTGGTGGGTGTGGCCTATGAGCCCCATGTCCATTTTCCTCTGACTCTGGATCATTCAAAAACTAGGATTTTCTATTCCCTTTCTCTCTCTAGTGGAATGACTGGCCATTATATAATTTGTCATGTTGTGAATGACAGTTGTGTGAAAACCTAGTGCTTTCAAAACTTGCATGATAAAAATATTTTTGGAGGGATGGGGCGCAAATACTAGGGCATTGATACATTCACAGAACAAATGCTATATAATTCCACTTACATGAGGTATTTAGAGCTGTCAAAGGCACAGAGACAGAAACAGTAAACAGGCAGTTGCCAGGGACCGGAGGGAGGGGGTGGAAGTTAGGGCCAATGGGTGCAGGGTTTCAGTAGGAGATGATGGAACGGCTCTGCAGATGTTGGTGGCGATCCTTGCTCAGCAATGGGCAGCTACTTAATGCCACTGACCGTGCACTTCAACCGGCTAAAGTGGCAAAGATCATTTCACTACACTTTCAAAAAATACAATACGCTAAAACAGCGGTTCTCAACCTGTGGGTCGCGACCCCTTTGGGGGTCAAATGACCCTTTCACAGGGGTCGCCTAAGACCATCGGAAAACACATATATGATTACATATTGTTTTTGTGATTAATCACTATGCTTTAATTATGTTCAATTTGTAACAATGAAAATACATCCTGCATATCAGATATTTACATTACGATTCATAACAGTAGCAACATTACAGTTATGAAGTAGCAACGAAAATAATTTTATGGTTGGGGGTCACCACAACATGAGGAACTGTATTAAAGGGTTGCGGCATTAGGAAGGTTGAGAACAACTGCTCTAAAAAGTATGTATGCATCTTTAAAATGATTGCAGGTTTCAAGTGTTTTTAATACAAGCAGTTTTAGTAGAAATAGCAACATTTAAAACCTACCTTGAAAACTAAAACCCATGTTTAACAAACACAGTTGGGCACTTTTTTGCCCATAGAAAGTCATCTATCTTACCGTAGGGGGCAAAAATGAATCTAATTAAATGCCAGGCCTATCACTGTATTCAGGCAAAATTAATACAGTAAAAAAATCAGTTTAAACTGAACTCTCAGGTAATTGAATTCTTTTTTGTAGTATGTCATTTAAAAAAAACCAGGAACTAGAGTTTAAGCAAGATTCCCAATATGGGTTCTGTTGTCTTTATTTGCAAGATACCAGAATCTAGCACTCAAATTCAGACCAAGTCATTCTAATACTGATTACAGATGTTCAGTCTTTTACAATCAATTTTGTTTACTGTTTTAAAGAACCTGTGGTTTAAGTACATCAATATTTTAAGAGCACGGACTTTAAACAGAAGGTGAACTTTACTTCAACTTGGCCCTTATTAAATAAACACCACTCTTTGAGGTCGCTCATTAGAACCCACCATTTGGATGATTCTAATAATCAACTACCTGTTAAATTTTATCAAAAGCTACTAAAATAAACTTTCTAATAAAGTAACTATGTACAGTCAACAACTGAATGCTTTTAACAACCAAACAGGCATCTATCATGAGAAAATCTATAAGGATTCATTCCTTCTTTAAAAGAGAGGAACTTAAGAATTCAATTTTGGTCACATTAAACTTGAGATGGTCATGGATCAGGCAACTGGAAATGTCAAGTAGGAAGCTAGACGTAAGGCTCAGACATCAGCGCTAAAGATACACTTTGGGGAATCTTGGGCATCTTGATGATATTAATATTGTAGGGAAAATGTGCCCACCTTGGGGTAAAATATAAAATGAAAAGGAAGTAAGCACCAGGAAACAAAACATTTAGTATTGTCTTTGAAAATCAGTCACTCAAAACTATCCTATAGGAGGTTCTTAAATGATCTGACCCACATTTAAAATATTATTTTTTCAAAAAGAAACCTAAATTTCAGCTTCCCTTGAAAAATATTCCACTTTCAAAAATTCTAAGGAAATAAGACAATGACAAAATATATGTATATGGATGTTCAAATAGCATGTAAGCACAGGGATAACCTCTCTGTGTCATAAAATATGGCAGACAGTGTTTCCAGATTTGGTTGTAATGTAAAGAATCTAAAAAACAAAACAAAAAACTAAGGATTTTCTCAAAGGAAACCATACTATGGCACATCCTAACCAAATGACTAAAACAATCATTTGAAAGTCTTTCGAGCAGTCCAAATGATCAGAAAATTTACATATGGGGGTACAGAATAACATCAGACTTTGTCAAAAACTATGCAAGTGGACATAAAAGGAGAGACAGACACACAGAGAAGGCAATAAAACAAACAAACAAAACTAGGTGAGCTATTTCAGAAACTATTTCACAACATATTACCAGAAATAAAGAGGGACATTTCAAGACAGTGGACCCAATTCATCAAGAAGACATTAAAAAAAAAAAACACTAAATATGCATGCACCTAATTATAGAGTTTCAAATTCCATGAGCCAAGAAGTAAAAGGAGAAACAGACCAGCCCATAATCAGTGCTGAAGATTCCCATACTGCTCACTCAGCAGTTACTGGAATAATCGGAAATCAGAAGGGATAAGTCTTGAAACGCACTATCAACCAATGTGACCAAGTTAACATTTCTAGAAAACTCCACTCAACAACTGCAGAATGTTTAGTGCACACCAAACAGTCACTAACGCAGACAACATCCTGCACTTATAACAAATACACAAAGTATGTTCTTGGACTACAACAGAATTAAATTAGAAGCCTACAGAGAAAAATACCCATAAGAGGTCAACTCTCCCCAAACTGGCCTGTAAGATAAAAACATTCATAATCAAAATGCCATCAGGCATTTTTGTAGAGACTGACCAGCTGATTCTAAAATACATGAAGAGAAATGGAAAGAACCTAGAATAGAAAAACTTAGAAATAGAAGAACAAAATTGGAGGATTTATACCATTTGCTTTTAAGTCTCACCATAAAGCTACAGTATAATCAAGACAATACAGTGTTGTCATTAAGGACAGATTTATAGATTAATAAGAACAGAATAGAGTCCTGAAATAAACCCACATATAATGGGCAACTGATTTTCAACAAAGATGCCGAAGTAATTCAACAGGGGACTATATTAGCTTCTCAAAAGTGTTACATTTGCAAAGAAATAAATCGCATCCCTTACCTCACACCATATAAAAAAATTAACTCAAAATGGATCACAGACCTAAAACAGAAGCCCAAAACAGTTCCAAGACATGAAAGAAAAGAAAAAAGGTTAGAAAAATTGTTGCCCAATCTCTGTGCCAACTCCTCCAATTTCTACTCCAAATTAGGGCAGAAGTATAGGGGGAAATCCCTCATCGGAAGCTGTTGAGTCAACATATGAATCTATTCAAAAGGAAAGAGCATTCATTTCCCATCTAAGTTCTCAGAGTAACTCCTAAGCAAGTAGTTATGAACTCACGCATCACCCTCAGAGCCATGGAAAGCCTGTCATGAAGAATGAGGCACTGGCGACATCCTGGAGCTTAGTTAGGGAAGGAAGCCTCGTAACTTCCTAACGCTTAAGCATGACCCAGAACAGAGCAGCTGCAGTTACGCACAGAGCCATCAGCAAGGCTCAGAGAGGGCCAGAGTTCTGAGCAACGGGCATGAGAGTTCTGAGGCCAAGTGCTCCCTCCAGTGCTCCACCTCCCATCATTCCGTTTTGAGCAGTTAGTGGACAAAAGGGACTTAGGAGAAATGTCAATAAGATGAAAAAGAAAGAAAACGAACATTCAGAGATTGACACAAGACCAACCAAGGATTCTATTTTAAAGTGTGAATGAGACGTCCTTAGCCCCATCCTGCCTGGACATATATAAGTTTTGGTCTGAAGGATACTTTGCTTCGACTGAAAAACAATGCCTGTTCTCCATGTTCTCCTAAACTGAAAGATATAAGAATACACTGTTCTTCCAAGTTTAACAATAAAAATATAAAGCTACAAGAAACTGATATCAGAATAAAGTATTCTAACAAGGAACTCATTTTCTAAATTTATAAAAGTACTTTCTAACATATTCAAGGAAAAAATTAGACCTTATGTTAAATAGCAAAACTATTCTTACAATGACAAGAACAACGACGAAAAGTCTTAAGTACCTTTCCCAAGGTTTTTACTGACATAACCAGGCTTAATCAACGAGATCGAATATTTGAAATGTTAATGCTAACTTATTATAACATTCCAGAAATACCCCCTGCTAACATGTTCCAAAATTCCACTCTTTTAAAATAGTCTAGCCCTAACCAGTTTGGCTCAGTGGATAGAGCGTCGGCCTGCGGACTCAAGGGTCCCAGGTTCGATTCCGGTCAAGAGCATGTACCTTGGTTGCGGGCACATCCCCAGTGGGGAGTGTGCAGGGGGCGGCTGATCAATGTTTCTCTCTCATCGATATTTCTAGCTCTCTATCCCTCTCCCTTCCTCTCTGTAAAAAAAATCAATAAAATATATTTTTTAAAAAATAGTCTAATGTCGATGTAGTTTTTCCCCTATTAAAAACAAAAAGGTAGACTTCAGATGAGGGTTCACTCATGAAAACTTCTGAGTAAGACTACACATCTTACTGACGTATTGGAACCATTAACCTGGACCAATAATGCTTAAAATCGAAATAGAGCACTCCAGGGCCTTGCAATTATGGGCCTATGATTTAAGGCAATAAATTCAAAGCCACACACACACACACACAAAAGCCCACATTTTCAAGCATCTCCTAAATTAGCCTAATTTTTTTCATTGACCTTTCCCACCTTTTAAGAAACAGGGCTAGATTTGTCCTCTTCATCTGTTATTTGAAAACTCCTTCCTCGCCTTATGCAATTCTCCTCACACCCTCCCATCCTCCTCATTCTTGCCACAATAAACACAGACTACCTACTGTAGATATTTTTCTTCTTTAAAAAAACCAACAAACAAGGTAACTGATATGGAGGTGGCAACGATGAAAAGATCCATGTTATCTGAACAGTGTCAGATAAACTATCACTATATATTCTTATGCACTTCAATTGGACTCTATAAATCCTTAATTCATCTATATTAATCCCCAAGATAAACTCCAAAATGAATGCCATTCAAACTCACAGACAGTCTGAATGGGTTATAGTTAACTCCCAAAGTTAGATGTTTAAACAAAGCATTTCCATGGTACTTATTTACTTCAAAGCAGAGAAAAATGGAAAGTGTCTTACTAGAAATGACGTATCAACAAAAAGTGCACTTAGATAGGATCCTTGAAGAAACTTCTTCTTTGTGACTTTTTCACAAAATGCGACTCCTTAATAAAGAAAAAAATATGAGATGGGTTAGTAATTGCTCTTAACTCCGACACAGAATTAAATATATTTCATTATTACAAATTCTAACAACATTATGTCTGGCAGATAGCTCCACAAATACTTGCTGAATAATAGAAAAATAAATGTTTAAAAGTCAATTGTTTTATTTGGCTAAGAAATTTAATGTTAGGCCACTGAGCATGTCTAATGTCACTAATCCATTTTTTCAGGGAGTGTGACTGAAATTTCCAGTAACATTGTATGCACTCCAAGATTCACCAACTGGCTCCCTGGGTTCCATTTCCCCATCTGCTAAGTATATCACATGATCATGCTTTCTATTCACCTGATACACACAGCCTACTGAATTTATGGTTGGATAAAATAGTTGAGAATGCAGTACAGTGAACATTTCCATTTAGAAAGAAAACTGTCCATGGGTGATTTCTAGTGCCAGAATACATGTTTGTATTCGTATACTATATATATACTTGTAGCTTTCACTGTCTTTCAAGGGAACATAAAATGAAAATGACCATAAAATGCCAAAAATGAATATAAAACTGATCAATGTCAATAATTCACATTAACAAAGGAACACTGGGAATACTAACCAATGAATTAGTGCATAAAGAATAATCCAGTCCTGCTACATTTTTGCTAGGAAATAGTAGCAAGACATTTAGGCAGAAAAGGGAAAGATGGTTAAAAACTATGCCTCTCTGTACCCCAAATGCCAGGCTAAATTATGATGCTAATCCAATAATGTAGACTTGCATGCCTGGGTGACTTGCATGACTGTAGTGCTTGTATAATTATCTACCATGAAACACACTCTGATCTTCAAAACATAAAACCAAAACTAAAATGTTAATGCTTTAGCCAGTTGTAAATAAGTTTCATATATTGAACCTCTAAATTCCACTGCTTGTCCAGGCAAGGGCTAGACACCTGTACCTCTAACTGCTGCCCCGCCCAAACCTGGTCCCAACCAACCACCTAGCTCCCTCTACTTCTAACTAACTTACATGGACTACAAGCCATTGCACAAACTATCAAATCAATGTCTATAACTTTCTTCAGCTTTTTACCCAAGTGACCGAAGAATACCCAATAGATATGGCAGGTTAGTAAGAAGTCCTTCATGAGAAAAACAAAGCAAGAGAGAAAGTACTGCGGCAGGAAGGGGACTAAACCATGAGGAAAGGTATCCAGGGAAGACCCAGTGTAAGAATAGTAACAAGAACAATTGCAACAGCAGCGGGAACATCTGAGTCTTTATCATCTGCTAATCGGTATCCTAATTGCTTTACATGTGTTAACTGATGTAAAGCCAACAATAACCTCATTATTGTCCCCGAGAGGAAACTGAAATACTAAGAAGCAACTTGCCAAGCGTGACGCAGCTAAGCTGGTGGAGCGGTGAGGATCCAGGCATGCTCTAACAGCTCTGCCTCACCAACCACAGTCCAAGTCATGCTCCTATGAGTGAGCTAAATAAGTGACAAAACCAATGCATACTGTAGCAACAGGCTCAAAAGACCGCAAAGCAAACCTCAGTCTCAGAGGCCGATACATCTGAGCAGCTGCTGATACACACTGATAGGCACTGCCCAGCCATACCTATAGGTGACAGATGCCCTGACAAAGGGCAGTGGGTGCCTGCTGTGAATAAAAATGACAAACGGATACCTTCTCAATACCTTGTAAAGTATACTTTAAATTTCTACAGGACAGTTATCACAAATAAAAATTACACAAGATAATATCATAAAAATCACATGGTAAGTATTTTTAATGAAGAAGGCGCTCTGAAACAAACGAGACCTTCGAAGGCATCATTTCAATGATGAGTAAACGCTGACTATCATATTTTATACTGTGGCACAAGTTACTGTCAATTTCCAATTTTCCATATTAACAAGAAAGGTTAAATGATCAAGGTCCAAATTCCTCTCTTCAAATGTCTCAACTACACTTGACCAAGCAAACAGACAACCTGTTACAATTGTTGACAACTGAAGTCCTAAATGACCCAAAATAAATCACTTGCTCACTAACTCCTCTCTCGTTATTGATGCCTAATCAGTGAATGCCAATAAGCGAGAAAGCAAAGTGAAATCAAAGTACTGCTGACATGATAGGCAAGAAAGTATTCTACGATGGTGAGAATAAATAGACTTCTATCTAGATAATGAACAGACATTTCACCATTGAAGAGACATGAAACACCAATCCTATATAATAAAAGCCTAATATGCTAAGTGTCCAGTTGTTCAGTCACCCGTTCAACCAATCAAAGCATAATATGCTAATGATATGCTAAGGCCACTCAAATGCTCGTGCACTGACCACCAGAAGGCAGACGCTCCGACTGGTAGGTTAGCTTGCTGCTGGGGTCCGACCGATCGGGACTGAGCAAGATGGGCCAGACATGCCCTGGAGCCCTCCCAAGATCCCTCTCCGGCTGCCCAACCTCTCCTGTCCCTCTCCAGCCCCAATTGCGCAAAGGATGTCCGACTGCCATGCCTAAACCATCAGTTGGACATCCCTGAGGGTTCCCGGACTGGGAGAGAGGGTGCAGGCCAGGCTGAGGGACCCCCCCCCCCGCCCCAGTGCACAGATTTCGTGCACCAGGCCTCTAGTAAGTAAAACTGTTTAGTATCATTACTCAAAGAAATGCAACTTAAAACCACAATGAGATGCCAGTAGCCAGTAGTCCCCCCTTATCTGCGGTTTCACTTTCTGGGCTTTCAGTCACGGTCTCAAAAATGTCAAATGGGAAATTCCAAAAATAAACAATCCATACGTTTTAAATTACATGCTATTCTGACTCGCGTGAATCTCATGCTGTCCAGCTCTGTCCGCCTGAGATGTGACTCACCCCTTTGTCCAGCGCATCCACGCTGCACATGCTCCCGCCCATTAGCCGCTGAGTAGCCTGCTAGGCCATCAGGTCCATCGTCCTGGTATCACAGTGCCCGTGTCCCAGTGACCCTTATTTTACTTAGCAATGGCCCCAAGCACAAGAGGAGTGATGCTGCCATTCGGATCTGCCAGAGGGAAGCCGCAAGCACTTCCTTTAAGTGAACCGGTGAGTGTAGTGCAATAGGAGAGAGAGACCTCATTATGTAACTTTTATTAAAGTATATTGTTATAATTGTTCTATCTTATTAGTTATTATTGTTAACTAGAGGCCCGGTGCACAAAAATTTGTGCACTCGGGGGTGGTCCTTCAGCCTGGCCTGTGCCCTCCCACAGTCTGGGACCCTTTGGGGGATGTCCACTGCTGGCTTAGGCCTGCTCCCCGGGGTATCAGGCCTAAGCTAGCAGTCAGACATCCCTCTGGCAGCCTGGGAGCCCTTGGGGGATGTCCACTTGCCAGCGGAGAGCAGGCCTAAGCTGCAGTCGGACATCCTTAGCGCTGCTGAGGAGGCGGGAGAGACTCCCACCACCACCGCTGTGCTGGCAGCCATCAGCCTGGCTTGTGGCAGAACAGAGCTCCCCCTGTGGGAGCACACTGACCACCAGTGGACAGCTCGTGCATTGAGCATCTGCCCCCTGGTGGTCACTGTGTGTCATAGTGACCAGTCATTCCCAGTCGTTCTGCTGTTAGGGTCAATTTGCATATTACCCTTTTAATATATAGGATCTCTTGCTGTACCTAAATTAACTTCACCATCGGAATGTCTAGATAGAAAAAAACATAGCATGGATAGGGTTCGATACTACCCGTGGCTTCAGACCTCCACTGGGGGTCTCGGAATGTATCCCCCCCCACACACACACACCATGGACAAGGAGGGGACTACTCCTAGTCACTAAAATAGCCAACCTTAGGGAGACTGACAGCACCCAGTGCTGATGAAGATATGGAGAAACGACTGCTCTTATTGCTGGCGAGACTGTGAAACCGTACAACTACTTTGGAAACCAGTTTCACAGCTTCTTATCCACTTAACATACACTTAGCATGTACGGTAAAACATACACTTAACATGTGTTCCAGAACTCCCACTCCTTGGTTTTTGCCAAGAATAACGAAAGCATACGTCCACACAAAGGCTGGTACTCAAACGTACAAAGGAGCTTTATTCTTTTTTTAAAATATATATTTTATTGATTTTTTACAGAGAGGAAGAGAGAGGTATAGAGAGTTAGAAACATCGATGAGAGAGAAGCATCAATCAGCTGCCTCCTGCACACCCCCTACTGGGGATGTGCCTGCAACCAAGGTACATGCCCTTGACCGGAATCGAACCTGGGACCCTTCAGTCCCCAGGCTGACGCTGTGAGCCAAACCAGCCAGGGCAAGCTTTATTCTTAATAGCTTCAACTAGAAACAACCAAGATGTCCACAAAAGGTGAATGGAGGAGGTGTGGTATAAACATACAATGAAATACTAGGCAACAGAAAAATGGAACAAAAAACGGATAGACACAAACATGAATGAATCGCAAAAACGTATCGGCGAGAGCAAAATGCAAAACACTAGTGAGTACACACTGTATGCTTCCACTTGGGAATAAATTTTCAAATTCTTGAGCCCCCACCAGAGAACCTACAAAGATCCAAAATTCCCACATTATGAAAGCCAGTCCTCAACACTGGGAAGCTCCATACACATAATTTTCTGACCTTACAAAGTGGAGAACAATCGGCATTATCTTTTAAGTCTTGGTTTCTGCATCTATAATAATGTAATAGTAGCTCATAAACTTCACAAGTTTAGTTGTGAGCATTCAACAAGCATCGAACGTGCTCGGTGCTAACTAATTACGGGGCTGTTGTTGCATCGCCGTCACAGTCACTGTAATTACTGACGGGAGGACAATGCGTTTGGAAAAAGAGAGAAGCCAGAAAACAGACAAGCGGACAGACGGATGCCCCTGGAAACCAATGAGTTAACTTTCCTATTAAAACCTCATCATTTGCTCGCGACATCAGAAAGGCAAACATTACAGCAAACGCCAAATTAGAACTTTTGGAATATATATG